TGGAGAATGATTTAGGATTTTGTTTTCCGTAAGTCATTTTCTAAACTTTTTACTTCAAATAATAAATACTCAAAATAATTTTAATTTATGAATTTAATATTAATAAAATATTTTAATATAATTTTAATCAAAATATTAATTATTAAAATATTTAAAAATATATTAATATTTTTATTAATAAAATTATAGAAATACTATCTTAATAATAATAAACAAATTGTTCTAATATTTTAAAAATAATAATATTAAGTTTCATGATAAATAATATTATTTATTGTATTTAATATTTGTAATAAATAATAGGAGTTAGTTCAAGTGGTAAGCAACCTGATATCACTTAAGCACCATATCGAGTTCAAGTCATTGTGCATACAGAAAATCTCTGTTGGCAGACACACCCACTAAAACCAAGTGTGCGACGCAAGTCGGTCAGCTTGAAATCGGAAGCACAACAAAAAAATTTGTAATAAATAATTTTAAAAAAATCCATTAACAATAGAAAAATGATTTACACAACCTCTATCAAACACCATAAAACGTTTTTCAAAAAATATATATCATTTTACGAAAAATATTTTCTAAAAAATATTTTTAGTAAAACAAATGACCCTAAGTTTTAAATACTATTTTAATATATTTTAGGCTTAATAAAAAATAAGTGTCTAGAAAAACATTTAAATGCCTAAACAAATTTTTTTGTTAAAAATAGATATTAAAGTTTTTATTACGTTTTTAAGTGTCTATCGTAAAAAAAACTCACTAAGTGACACGTGTTACGTAAATATTTTTTAAAAAAATATTTTTAAAATATTTAGATATGACACATTTCACTTAATAATTTTTTTAAACAGTAATTACTTAAAAATATAATTGAAAAAAATTTATACACCTATTTTTAACAAAAAAAAATTAGACACACAAAATTAATTTTAATATAATTTATACATTTAATTTTATATTAAACCTATATTTTATTATAAAACATTGTGTCGTGGTCATACTTTTTATTATCTTACGTAGTTTTTGAAGAGACGTAAAGAAGAAGAACTTTTCTTCTATCCAATTAGATAGCGATTACTTATTTACTTTATTTCCGGTACAAATACTTATTTGTTTTAAATATATGCTTTCTAAATAAAATTAATAGGAATTTACTACCGTAAGTTTTTTTTAATAAAAAGACGAGTTAAACACTTCACCCAAACAAAAAAAATTAGGGTTCATTGCACTGAGTGTCAACAATTATATATCAAAATCTAAATTTTATTAATATTAAATCACCAAAATCCAATGCTCATAAATTTTAATATGTTTCTATTAAATCACCAAAATCCAATGCTCATAAATTTTAATATGTTTCTATTATATATTTCAATTTAATTGTCAACTTTGATATTAAATATTAGTTTAAATTGAACCAATTTATTTTTTCATTGATTAAATCTTTTAAAAAAAAAGTTAATTTAAGCCACAATTTAGGGCATGCTTGTTTGGATAAGGTTACGTAAATAATATTTTATTAGTTGATATATTTTAAAAAATTTATTATAAATACCAAATAATATTATTTATTAAATAATAATAATAATATTTTTAAATTATTAAAATAATTTATTAAATATTTTTTATTTCAATATTATTATTAAAATATTATATCTATAATTTTATAAATATAAATATTAAGATTATTGTATTTATTAAAATAAAATTATTACAAATTATATTATTTATTTATTTATTAAAATTAAAATATTATATTAGTAATTATATTAAATACTTAATAAATAATGATATTATAAAATATTAAAAATTATAATATTAAAATAAAATATTATATTTTAAATAATATGTTTTAAATATTTAATAATTTAATAATATTATTTTTATAAAATTAATAAATAATATTAATTTTATTAATAATTTATTATATATTATTAACATAAAAATTATAATATTATATATTATAATAATATAATTATACCATACATTTATTTCAATTTAATTGTCAACTTTGATATTAAATATTAGTTTAAATTGAACCAATTTATTTTTTCATTGATTAAATCTTTTAAAAAAGTTAATTTAAGCCACAATTTAGGGCATGCTTGTTTGGATAAGGTTACGTAAATAATTTTTTATTAGTTGATATATTTTAAAAAATTTATTATAAATACCAAATATATTAAATAATATTATTTATTAAATAATAATAATAATATTTTTAAATTATTAAAATAATTTATTAAATATTATTTATTTCAATATTATTATTAAAATATTATATCTATAATTTTATAAATATAAATATTAAGATTATTGTATTTATTAAAATAAAATTATTACAAATTATATTATTTATTAATTGAAATTAAAATATTATATTAGTAATTATATTAAATACTTAATAAATAATGATATTATAAAATATTAAAAATTATAATATTAAAATAAAATATTATATTTTAAATAATATGTTTTAAATATTTAATAATTTAATAATATTATTTTTATAAAATTAATAAATAAAATTAATTTTATTAATAATTTATTATATATTAACATAAAAATTATAATATTATATATATAATAATATAATTATATATTAAAAATTATAACATTACATTATTAAAATTATCAATAAATATAATTTAATAATTAATATTTTTATTAAAGTGATATTAAAATAAAATATTATAATTAAATATATAAAATAATAATATTTTAAATATTTATATCTTAAAATGAAAAATTCGTAAAATAATTTTAAAAAAATCTAACTATAAGAAAATACAATGAAAAATTAATTCGTCAAGAAAATGAAATATATCGATTATTTATTTTTCCCAACTAAATATTAAAAAAATAAAAAATATTTTTCAAAAATAAATTATAAAAAATAAACAAATCCTGAAATCATTTTAGAAAGAACGAATATAAATAGAGAAAATCGCCTCAGTGACCAAAAATACCTTATAATATACGATTTTAACCAACTTTTTTTGGATTTGCCAAAATGACCAATAAAATCGCAACGCGATTTAGAAAATCGCAACGTAAAAAAGAAAATCGCAACGGACAAAAGACAAATCGCAACACGAGCTTCCAAGTTCGCAACGCGATTTAGAAGAAAATCGCAATGCGATTGATTGAATCGCAATGCGATTTATAGAATCGCAATGCGATTGAGAGAGTCGCAACGCGATTTAGAAGAGAATCGCAATGCGACTGAGAGAATCGCAATGCGATTGAGAGAATCGCAACGCGATTTAGAAAATCGCAACGTTAAAAAGAAAATCGCAACGGTTAAAAGAATAGTTCAAAAAAATTTGTTTCTTAAGAATTTTCTCTAAAAAGATAGTATCCGCGCGGACGTGTCGAAGACACGTATTACCACGACCACGACCACGACCACGACCACGACCACGACCACGACCACGACCACGACCACGACCACGACCACGACCACGACCACGACCACGACCCGACCCGACCCGACCCGACCCGACCCGACCCGACCCGACCCGAGACGAGACGGCGGCGGCGGCGGCGCGCGAGAGTCCCCCTTGTCCTCTTTCACTCAACAAGGAAGTGCAAATACAAGCCTTAAATATAATTCCCAATAGTGTTTCCAATACTATGTGGGATTGAGCATTACCAACACTTGTTCCCAATATCATTATTCTTCATAAGTTATCATCCATTACAATATGAATTATCGATAATAAATTAATTCATTTTAATAAGTATTTAAAATTATAACTTGATAAATACATGAAATAATTCTATTATTAAATAAAAAATATATTTTTTATATTAAAATTATTGAGATAGATATTTACTATAAAAGTAAAAGATTTTTTTTTCACGTACAACCTCTATGTGAATTAGTTTCACAATAAGGTATCGGTTATGCATTGGATTCTTTCGTATTAGATGGTCTTTAATAAGATCATCATCATCATTCTTTTGTTCAACAATACCATATATTAATGAGGTATATTGGTTCATTAACACGACTAATTCATATTGTAATGGATGATAACTTATGAAGAATAATGATATTTGGAACAAGTGTTGGTAATGCTCAATCCCACATAGTATTGGAAATACTATTGGGAATGGTATTTAAGGCTTGTATTTTGCATTTCCTTGTTGAGTGAAAGAGGACAAGGGGGACTCTCGCGCGCCGCCGCCGCCGCCGTCTCGTCTCGGGTCGGGTCGGGTCGGGTCGTGGTCGTGGTCGTGGTCGTGGTCGTGGTCGTGGTCGTGGTCGTGGTCGTGGTCGTGGTCGTGGTCGTGGTCGTGGTCGTGGGTGGTGGTCGTGGTCGTGGTCGTGGTCGTGGTAATACGTGTCTTCGACACGTCCGCGCGGATACTATCTTTTTAGAGAAAATTCTTAAGAAACAAATTTTTTTTAACTATTCTTTTGACCGTTGCGATTTTCTTTTTAACGTTGCGATTTTATAAATCGCGTTGCGATTCTCTAAATCGCATTGCGATTCTCTCAGTCGCATTGCGATTCTCTCAGTCGCATTGCGATTCTCTTCTAAATCGCGTTGCAACTCTCTCAATCGCATTGCGATTCTATAAATCGCATTGCGATTCAATCAATCGCATTGCGATTTTCTTCTAAATCGCGTTGCGAACTTGGAAGCTCGCGTTGCGATTTTCTTTTGACCGTTGCGATTTTCTTTTTAACGTTGCGATTTTCTAAATCGCGTTGCGATTTTGATATCGCGTTGCGATTTTATTGGTCATTTTGGCAAATCAAAAAAAAATTGGTTAAAATCGTATATTATAAGGTATTTTTGGTCACTGAGGCGATTTTCTCATATAAATATTTATTTCAACATGAAAATGCGTCAACTTGGTCTTTCCGCTATTACAACTCGTTTCAACGTGTCGCAAATCCGATGATGAAGGGCAAAACCATCTGCTTCATCTGTTATTCCCCTCTTTGATTTGCTATATATACCACCTTATCGACTTCTTCACAGTTCACTCAGTTTCTTCTTATCTTCCTTTTTTTCGATTTGACTTTTTAAAATTATCAAAGATTTCTTTTTCTTAACACTGGAAAGAGGATATCCAAAGTTTGCTGATGGCGAATCCTAAGTTAGGTCGGATGCCTAGCATGAGGGAGCGCGTGGAGGACACGCTTTCCGCTCATCGTAACGAGCTCGTCGCTCTTCTCTCCAGGTTCTCTCTTCCACGACTCTCCGATTTATTAGCTTTTTTTTTCCTTTCCGGTTTTAAATTTAGTAGTATCTGACTATCTGTTTGGTTTTTAAGAAAACGATGAAAGGAAAAAAAAAAGAGATGTTATGTTACTGAAGTTTAGGTTCGTGGAATTTTAAGGTACGTGGCTCAGGGAAAAGGAATATTGCAACCACATACGTTGATCGATGAACTAGAAAACGTTGTAGGCGACGAGAAAGCTCGAGAGAGGCTTAGTGATGGTCTCTTTAGCGAAGTCCTTAAAACTGCACAGGTCATTTTTAACACTCTCCTCTTTTTGGACTTTAATCAATTATTTTATTTTTTAATATATTGTTTTTTTGAAAGAATATATTGATTAGAACTTTTTTATTTTATTTATTTTTCCTCCGCAATTAATGATTTGGTAAATAAATAGAAAATAATTTCGTACTGATTAGTTTTTTTGGATAAATTATTTTTAATTTACTGTTTCTTCTAGGTAAGCTCTTGATCTCTCTCAAATGGAGTTTGTACGGTCTTGCTTACGATATTATATTTATTTATTTTTGAAAAAAAATAAAACTGCAGGAGGCCATAGTGCTGCCTCCGTATGTGGCTATAGCAGTTCGTCCAAGACCTGGTGTTTGGGAATACGTACGAGTCAATGTTCACGAACTCAGTGTGGAGCAACTGGGTGTTTCCGAATACCTTCGCTTCAAAGAAGCACTTGTTGATGGAGTGTAAGCTAATAAGCTTATTTCCTGTTCTTTGTAATTTGTGTTTATTCATTCTTTGAAGTCATTGTATGGTTGTTATATGTGTCCTAGCTTGTAACTAATGGAGATTGTATTTGTTGATTGTTGATTTTTACATATTGCAAAGGGATAACAACCATTTTGTGCTTGAACTTGATTTTGAGCCATTCAATGCATCGTTTCCTCGGCCCAACCGTTCTTCATCCATTGGCAATGGTGTTCAATTCCTCAACCGTCACCTTTCCTCAAACATGTTCCGTAACAAAGATTGTTTGGAGCCCTTATTGAATTTCCTCAGAGTTCACAAATATAAAGGACATGTAAGTACTCATAATAGGTCCCCCCCCCCCCTAAAAATCTATTTCACCCTTATTTGGTATTCCTGCTTATACATCTATAACGTTCCTTTAGATTTAGGACAAGAAAATTTCACCTTGTGATTTGTATGGTGATGAATTAACAGATTTGGAAAGGAATATGTTGGGGTATCTATTTCTGATGAAAATTTTGTAACAAGATAAACTAACGAAGGTCTCTATGTAGGGATTGATGTTGAATGATCGTATACTAAGTGTACCCAGACTTCAAGCTGCTCTGGCCAAGGCAGAAGATCGTCTTTCTAAGCTTCCTCCTGATGCACCATATTCCGAGTTTGAATATGAGTTAGTGTCTATTTATGTGTTCTGTTTATATTTGCGTTCAAACATATACACGTACACATACATTTTTTTCATGGAGTCTATCAGCATATGGGTAGAGCAATAAAGTTTTTGATATTTCCATCTGTTTTTCCTTTTTGTATGGATGCAGTTTACAGGGAATGGTTTTGAGAGAGGGTGGGGAGATACTGCAGCACACGTTCTGGAGATGATGCATCTTCTCTTGGACATCCTTCAAGCTCCTGATCCATCTACATTGGAGACATTCCTGGGGAGAGTGCCTATGGTGTTTAATGTTGCCATTCTGTCTCCACATGGATACTTCGGGCAAGCAAATGTTTTAGGTTTGCCCGACACTGGTGGGCAGGTTCGTAGTGAATCTGAAAGCATGGAGATTTCTCCATGTTTTTGTTCATTAAGGGGTTGAATCTTTGTTCTGCCCTTGCAATTGCATGGCTTCTTATTGTTTAACATGTTATGATCACCATATTTCCTATGTAATGTGTAGGTTGTTTATATATTGGACCAAGTGCGGGCCTTAGAGAATGAAATGCTTCTAAGGATAAAGAGGCAAGGACTTGATGTTACTCCCAGAATTCTTATTGTAAGTATATATGACAAGATGCCCAGATTGCTTCATTTTTTTTTTCTTTTGCTTATGTAAATTTGACATATTCTTCCTTCTTGTTCAAGGTGACCAGGTTAATACCTGATGCAAAGGGAACTACTTGCAATCAAAGGCTGGAAAGAGTCACTGGGACAGAGCATACTCATATTCTGCGTGTTCCTTTTAGGTCAGAACATGGGGTTCTTCGTAAATGGATATCAAGGTTTGATGTATGGCCTTATCTGGAGACTTATGCCGAGGTAAATTATTTTGACTTTCACTTTGTTGAACTTTATTGATTTTATTCTCTTAAGTCGTTGAAGATTTTTCATCAGTCATTATTTTTGAGAAGGATGTTTTCTTTTTTACTTCTCTATTGAGTTCTATCTTCCTTCCTATAATATTCTTTCATAACACACTTTCATATTTGTATGTCTAATCAGGATGTAGCAAGTGAAATTGCAGCAGAGTTGCAGGGTGTTCCAGATTTTATTATAGGAAACTACAGCGATGGAAACCTTGTCGCATCTTTGTTGGCTTACAAAATGCTGTGAAGTAGTTGTTGCTAAATCTTCAATGACGAAATTACACTTTTTGCAGTGTACCATTGCCCATGCTTTGGAGAAAACAAAATATCCAGATTCAGATATATATTGGAAAAAGTTTGATGAGAAATATCACTTCTCTTGTCAGTTTACTGCTGATTTAATAGCCATGAATAATGCAGATTTTATTATCACCAGCACATACCAGGAGATTGCAGGAACGTAAGTTTTCTTCTATTACTGTTGAATACACTATTTATTTACTGGACTAGTGTTAGCACCATTCATTTTGGAATGGAATGTCGTTATCGTTATTTTATAGTAATATGTTTAAGAACATTGTTCATCTTAATACACTTCAGTCAGCTGCTTTCCTATTGTATATGGATGGATCCCCTGGCTAAAACATGTAACTGCCTTTGAACTGGAATTTCTGTAGTTTATTACATGTTACGAAAAAAGTGATGCCTTTCACATTATATAAATTGCTTGTCACAATGTTCTTGCTTCAGGAAGAATACTGTTGGTCAGTACGAGAGCCACACTGCTTTTACTCTTCCAGGGCTGTATCGAGTGGTTCATGGCATTGATGTTTTTGACCCAAAGTTCAACATTGTATCTCCCGGGGCTGATATGTGCATTTATTTTCCTTACTCTGATAAGGAAAAGAGACTTACAGCACTGCATGGCTCAATAGAAGAATTGTTATTTGATCCTCAGCAGAATGATGAACACATGTGAGTTTCTTCATTCTTCAGTTGTTGCTGCTTATATATTACCATCTGTTAGAGCATAATCTTTGAATTAATAACATTTTCTGTTTGTTCTAACATATTGTTCTATTAGACAAGGCACTTTTAAATTCTCTTCATTTCCCTCACCATTCCCTTTTTTCTATTTATTGAATATAGTCAAGAATGTGGGTTGCCAAGAGAAGTTAAGTTACTATTTTGACATCTACTTTCAAGAATCTTAATAGTTTTACATTAAATGGAATACTACTAGGCTTCTGCAGGTAAAGTAAAATGCGTCTCTGAGATTTTCAGCTGATGAATATCAAGTCGGGACTTATTGCAAAAATTTGCTGCACAATTCTACAATATAATTTTCTTTGTTTGCCTAGTTTTTTATGCAAGTTCATCTTCAATTTGTAGTGGTAGTTTGAGCGATCAGTCAAAGCCCTTGATCTTTTCCATGGCAAGGCTGGATCGAGTTAAAAACATGACTGGATTGGTAGAGTGCTATGCCAAGAATACTAAGCTGAGGGAATTAGCAAACCTTGTTATTGTTGCTGGTTACATTGATGTAAAGGATTCCAAAGACAGAGAAGAGATGGCAGAAATTGAGAAGATGCATGGCCTTATAAAAGAGTATAAGTTGGATGGTCAATTTCGTTGGATAGCAGCACAAACAAACCGAGCACGCAATGGTGAGCTATATCGCTACATAGCCGACTCGAAGGGTATATTTGTACAGGTATGTTCCCTTTAGCAATATGCTGCTATTGTGGTACAACCTCTTGGGATTTTCTAATAACAATAACCGTCTCAATTTTCAGCCTGCATTCTATGAAGCCTTCGGACTTACGGTTGTGGAAGCTATGACTTGTGGCCTTCCAACGTTTGCCACATGCCATGGTGGTCCTGCAGAGATTATCGAAAATGGTATATCAGGGTTCCATATTGATCCGTATCACCCTGACCAGACTTCAGAACTCTTGGCAACTTTCTTTGAACGTTGCAAGGAGGACCCAAGTTACTGGACTAAAATATCCGATGGAGGGCTTAAGAGGATATATGAAAGGTCTGTTCCTAATCATAATTTACATTTATACCTCCATTGTCTAAACAATCAATGTGGAACTTAAGCAAAGTTTCTTTTGCTTACATGTTAGGTATACATGGAATATTTATTCTGAAAGGCTGATGACATTGGCCGGGGTATATGGTTTCTGGAAGTACGCCTCAAAACTCGAGAGGCGTGAGACCCGAAGATATCTTGAAATGTTCTACATTCTCAAGTTCCGTGAGTTGGTAAGTGAACAACTTTGATCCCTCATTAAGGAGGAGCGTTACTTTCATGTTAGAAAACTCGGGTAAACGTTGTAGTATATAGAATTAAAGCATGCATGTATTCTTTTTCAGGTAAAATCTGTTCCGTTGGCCAGTGATGATTAAAGCATAATCCCTGGTTGCTGCGGGGAACTGGTAGTATATATATAAGGATGAATAAGTTTGAGGTTTCCTGGTATGGAGCTTTTTCAATTAGATGTTGGAAGTCCTAAAATCATGTGCGAGGGCTGTTGTAAATAAATGTACTGCCTAGGCTTGGATGTTGATGGTGTGTACGCTTAGCTAACGGTACCTGTATGAGGCAATCATAAGATCGGAGTCAATGGCCAACCAGTTGGTAGTTTGAGAAACAGTAATTCTTATCCATTGAATTACACTGTACTTGCACACTGTTTGGTTACTGCTGGCTGCGTTATATGAATTCGAGTGGTTTGTTATGTGTGTGAAGAATCATAGTTGGGGCTTTAGGTATTGTGGCTTAACAAATAATAGAAGCAACCAACTGGATTAAAGCATAGTGGACACGGTTATTTAAAAAAAAAAAAATGAGGAATAACTTGACTGCCGGCCGGGTGACTGATATTTTCTATAGTAATAAATGTATAGGTCCACAAAAGTAAGATATAACATTTGTGAAGACGTCATCCATATACCTAGAAATAGCATATCAGCCGGACCGCAAAGCGGAAGGGCTTAATATCAAAACAAGTGTTCCAAAGTGTACTTTTTATTATTATTATTATTCAATAAGGTGCTCAACATTATAAATATGATTATTTTAGGTGTTTAGACCATTAATGACATTAATTTTTTATTAAGTGACACTTATCATAATTAATGTCCCGATAAGTGACACTTGTTACAATATAGTAATGTTGAAATTTATTTTTTAAAAATATTATGAAATTTTAAAAAAAATATTTATTTTTCTTTATATTATAAAACAGTTTCAAAATTTAAAATTATAATCTTAATAGGTTGTTATTCTTTTTAGTCACGATTAACGTTGTCGATGTAGTTGTTATTATCTTTCTATTCATATGTCGTTGTAGTTGTTATCGATTGGTTGAAATTGTATAGGATCGTTATTTTTATCTTAGGATTCGAGGGATATAAAACGTTAATTCTTTGTTGATTGGTCGTCGATCAGTTACGATTTTATGAGGGTTTTAATCGTCGGAAGAGATGAAATTGGGTGGAGTTCTGTTGACAATAAAAAGTGGCGGTAAGTTAAAAATATAAGTTTTAAAATTTAAGGTTATTTTAAATTTTTTATTTCTTAAATATATAGTTTTTAATTTTTAAATTTTAAATATATTTTTTAAATTTATCAGTTGTAACATGTGTCACCTAACAGGAAAATTAATATTATTAACGTTATTAAAGTGATAATATTTATAACATTAGATACTAAGATAAATTAAAAAATAGTATATAATTATTTTGGTATTAAACCAAGAGGAAAAGGAAATGTTACACGTGGTTTTTCGAGACCAAATAAAAGGGTTAGTCATTATTTTAGAAAACATTCTTCTTCTTTCTTTCTCCCGTATCATATTAAACCAACTCCATCTGATCTGATTTTTTATTCTCAGATAAATCATATAAAGCCATGTCTCTCATTTTAAATATATTTGTATTCTCACATTTTTCTATGTTTTTATACTTTTTTAAGTAAAATAAAAATACGAAATTATATATCTGCACACAACTCTTGCCACTCGTCAAATGATTATTGATTAGTTTAACTATTTTAGATATATTATATTACAAAAAAAGATATATTATTTATGAAATACTTTCATTGTACTACATAACAGAGTGTAATATTCAATTTAATTGGACCTATGGACTCGCTCGGTTCTCGTCTTCTTCACGTCCTTTCTGTCACATGAGAGCCTCAATTTATATTTTTGTCATAAAATTCATCTTCGTGCTATAAAAAATACTATAATTATTGCGTTTATATATAGTAATAAGTAAATAAAAGTACAACACACACATCAACAACAACAAAATGCTTTTCACCTAAATAATACCATTTCAAAGATTATTCATCAAATTTACACTTAAAATCAATTAATTATTAAAATAACACTTTTTATTTACCAAATATATCAGGTAATGATATGTGCATCCTCTGTTCCGAAGCAAGGGAATCCAGAAACCATCTCTTTGCTTAATGTAAAACAACTGCTTCAATCTAGAATTCTATTATTCGGCTCACAGGTATTCATAAACCTCTTCTTACCTGGACTAATATGCTTACTTGGGCATATAACACATGGAAAGGCAAGTCCTTGCTTACTAGTATATTGAAGCTTTCTTGGTGCACTCTCAATTATACAATATGGGAAGAAAGGAATCGAAGATTTTTTCGAGGAACCTATAGATCCGAAGACGAGATTCTGGCCTCAATCAAAAAGACTGTAGGAATACAACTTAGCAATAGGATTGTCAATAGATTGGGGTATAGTATGATTTTTTGTGTATCTTGACACCCCTTTTTCATGCTAGTTTGTTTGTATTGGATTTGAAGCAGCTACTGCTTTCATTGGGTAATAATAATCTAATTATCCAAAAAAATAAATATATCAGGTAAGTAAAAGCATATTCAACCAACCACGTTTTTAAAAAACACTTTTAGCAAAATATGATTTTCATAAAATAAATATCAAATATGTCCAAGTGATTAGGGATGGCAACGGGCAGGGTTCGGGTCGGGTATTGGTCCCTCCGTCTCCGTTTAAAAAATCGGTACACGTCCCCGTTTAAAAAACCGCGGGGATTTAAACGGAGATCCTCGTCGGGTAGTCGGGAAAAACCGCGGGGAAACGTGTATCCCCGTTTAGCATAAACGATTATTTAAACGGGTATTGGGCCGGGTATTGGCTCGGGTATTGGCTCGGTATTGGGCCGGGAATCGGGCAAGGTATATATATATATATTTAAATTAAATATATATTTTTTATTTAAAATAAATTTATTAATATTATATATATATATATATATATATATAAATAATTATTTTTAATATTTATCGGATCGGGTATCGGGGCGGGTAATCGGGGCGGGAATTACCAAACCCGTCCCCGTCCCCGTTTAAAATAAATAAGTTTCCCCGTCCCCGTCCCCGTCCCCGTTTATCATCCCCAAACCCGACCCGTTTAATTCAGTTTTCGATTTTCCCCGTCGGATTCAGGTTTTTTTGTCATCCCTAAAGTGATCGTGTATATATAATCTCAACGTCTAATCTTAAGTTCAAATCTTTTTAGTGATATTTCCTTATTTTTTTTCAAATGCACTTTTAGATAAAGATTTAAGTATATCGAAGGTTCATAAACTATTTTAAAATTTAAATTTCAGTCCATCCACTATATTTTGTTCAATTTTGTCTTTAATTGCTAATCTAAAGAGTTATAAGATTTAAAACTAAATTATCATACTTTAATTTTATGACATTAATGATTGTACTATTTTCTATTAAAAAATATTAGTTTCTCCTCAATTTTATTCGATTTCATTATTAACTGCTGATACGCAAATTATAAAAAATCAAAATAACTATTTTAGTTTCATACTACAATTTTTATTATTTTGGCTATTAATATTTAAATATATAAAAATATCTAAATATATAAAAATATCTGTAATTGAACTATGTGATTTTTTAATTATTTAGATTTATATTATTCTAAGAGTCAAATGGATAAAAATTGTAAACGTAAAGGACTAAAAGTTGTTTGCATTCTTTATAACTACTCGATTAGCAATTAAAGATAAAATCAAATCAAAATTAGTAGAGAGTCTAATATTTTCGAATAAAAAAATCTCAATGCCACAAAAATCAAAATACCTAGACTAATATTAAAAAAATAATAATAAAAAGACTCGATAACTCGAAGTTAAAGTTTAAGGACTAAAACGAACATTTGATAAACTCGTTTGAAAAAGAATATCCCTAAAAAGAATTAAACTTAGGACTAGACTATGAAACTATACATACATTATTACTAAGACATATTTAATATTTAATTCATAAAAAACACATTCTGTCGAAAATGATTTTAGAAGACATGATTGAATGAACGTACCTTTATCATACATGACACATTAGACCGATAAAAGAATATTAAATTCAATAATTAATAGGAAATCAGTGTCGTTTGAAAAATTAAACTTTTAGTGATTCTATTTTGGTAAAAAAATAAAAAGAAACAAGCACGTTCGACGAATTAAAAAACCAAAACAACAGAAGGAAAGGATGGATCTTCCCTCGAGAAACTCCCTGCCGCAGATATAAATCGTATGTATGTTTATCTAGTTCCTCCTCAAGAACGTGGCTCTGAGCTCGGCCGGGCAAATATCGGCGGTGGAGTTCTCGGGTCTGTAGAATCCGGTTTTTGGGTCGGGAACCCAGTAAACGTACTCTTTAGTTGCAGCAGCAGCTCCCATATCTTCTCCTGTTTTCTTCAACACTGCGGCAATTCTCGCAGATGCTGCTTCCTTTACTCCGTTCGATACCACTCCTTGTGATGCCGCCGAGTATCCTCGTCTAAACCAAAAAAAAAAAAACACCAAACATCATTAAACCATTGTCCCTGTCCCGTTCCCTAATATTATATTTAAAAAAAACAGAGCAATGGGTTGACACCTTGAGATAGCTTTAGAGAAACCATCGATAACGAAATCAGAGAAAAATTTAACGTTTGAGAAAGGAGACATTTTATTTTTTGTAAGAGAAAGGTTGTTGAACGCTGTGTGTTGTGGTGGGGAAGAGAGTTCCGCAGGCTTTGTGGATTAACTCTCTCCCCCTTTCCCTGTCGCGAAAAAAGATGGGTTGCGAAGGGGGACTCCCTCCGGCTTTATATAGAACGCCTCAACACTCGTTCGACGGATCCCCTGTTTTTGCTATGGGGTTTGTTGTTGTCAACCCCTTTATTGTTCCTTATTTATTTATGGTTTTGCAACGTGATGTGTTTATTAATTAAACTTTTTTTAGTTTTTGGAATGGATAAAGTAAATAAGGATTATCCGAGATTACGCCTTTAAATGACAGTTAGTGGAAGGGATAAAAAAAGGGTTTATGTCATGGATGCCCATTATTTTTTTTTCGAGCACACAAGGCAGGACATGTTGCACAACACAACAAACCTGCAAAACATGATCCCACAATCATCTAGCATAACCACACTCAAAAATATAAATGGTCACGAGACTCAGTCTCACCCAAACACAACACATAATGACTATCTAAATTAAGACCAAACGAAATAAGTCTACTATTAGTAGGAAGTCTGTCTAATACCGCATTCAAACCATAACAGAATTCTTCAAGTTATGATCCGAATGCCAAATCAGCTATCCTAACCCACATTAACTTTCTGCACTCGCACAGCTTTCCAAATCGCTGCTACCGAATTCATTTCACCCCCAAAAAGGTTACCCAACAAGGCCACAACATGCCTCAAGTTAAGCAACCTACTCCAAGCATGACCCCCTAAAAGAGCCACTCGCCTGCCAAAATAAATAAAAGAAACTGGGCTGAATTCTGAAATCTTAGAATGTAGTTAAACTCAGCCCTAGACCATTAAGTTATTTGCCCAACAGAATATAAAGTAGCAATCGATTTTGCTTGTAGAATTCGTTTTTTTCCCCCTGATGGTGAAAAATTAGCTTCTCTAAAACCCAGCCGTCAATTAAACCCTGCTTCTTTCAAATCGGGGCCTCGCTGGTTGCGGCGCCTCTATTATAGCCATGGCTCGTTTCCGTAATGTAAGTAATAGCTTTCTCTTGAAATTTTAGCATTGGTCGATTCTTTTGAACTCCAAAACTATTCAACTGAGCTATGAATTTCGTCATGCTTTTGTTTATTTTTAGGGTTTTTTTGTTCTTGTTTTTAGGTTGGTTTGGTTTAATCATGTTCTGATATCTGAATCGGAAAAAAAAAAACAGAGAAAGACGAAGGTTTTCGTGAAGCCTATTGTGAAAAAGAACCAGCAACAGCAATCAAATGTGGACCATATCACGGGGAATAAAATCCCAAAGAGTTTCGTGTTTTCGAGAGGGAAGCTTCCTGGTCCAATTAGGCAACTTCAAATGGACTTGAGAAAATTGATGCTTCCTTATACTGCTCTCAATCTCAAGGTAATTCTTTCGTTCTTTCACTTTTCGTTATATATATGTATATATATATAAACTGGTTTTACTTTGTTTCGTAAGTTTTCTTTTTAATTAATGTTTTTGTTATGTTGTTGTTTAATTTTTGCAGGAGAAGAAAAGGAACAATCTGAAAGATTTTTTGAATGTTGCAGGGCCAATGGGTGTAACCCATTTCCTCATTCTATCCAAAACTGAATCTTCGCCTTTCCTTAGGGTTGCAAAGACTCCTCAAGGCCCTACTCTTACTTTTAAAATACACGAGTATTCATTGGCTGTTGATATCGCTCAGTCTCAATTGCGCCCTCGATGTCCTCAGGATCTTTTAAAAAATCCTCCTTTGGTAAGTTCTTCGCCTCTTACCATCTCTCCTATGGAAACTTCCTTGTGTTATTGTAATTCTTAGCTGGTTGTAGAACCTTTTTTATATAAGAAATAAGAAAGTTTTTTTACAAGTCAAATGTTGATGTGTTTGCCTCTTGAAGCATAATGAGGGAGAGTCTGAAACCTCGGTTTTCGCATTAAAATTTTTGCTCAAATTGGTTGAGTTTATGTCTCAACTTATATATGACACTTTCATGGCATTAATTTTGAATATATGTTGGGCAGATTGTTTTATCTGGCTTCGCAGCTGGAAATGAACATTTAAAGCTCACCACCACGATGTTTAAGAACATCTTTCCAGATATTGATATCAACACTGTGAGTGCTTGGACAGTTAAATTTTAGTTTCTCAACTGACTTCACTTGTTTCATTCTTCCCTTTTAACATTGTCTCAACATGAATATTTCAGGTTAAACTTTCTTCTTGCCAGAGGATTGTGCTGCTTAATTACAACAAAGACACACAGCTTATCGATTTTCGACATTATTCTATCAGACTACAGCCTGTTGGTGTCTCCCGTAGAATTCGCAAATTCGTGCAGAACCATCAAGTACCTGATCTTAGGAATCTTCAAGATGTGAGCGACTTCGTCACCAAGTGAGTATTGTTATGAGCTATACATATTTATAGTACCGTCCTTATTAATAGCATACTCTTTTTGATTTGTTTATGAATAGTATACTCTTTTTGATTTGTTTAGCTCTCCTCATGTGTTTGATTTGTTATATGAAGAGCGGGTTACGTATCAGAAAGTGAAGCAGATGAGGAAGCTGCTACAGTTACTCTGATTAGTGATCTTAGTCGAGTTAATCGTGCTTCCACAAAAAGTGCTGTCAAGCTTCAAGAAATTGGACCTAGAATGACTCTCCAACTCACAAAAATCGAGGGTGGATTATGTTCCGGTGAAGTTATGTTCAGTGAATATGGTATGCTCATCTATCCTATCAATTTTTCTCATTATTACCATCATTTAATCGATAAAAGAAATAGAACCTTTTCTTATACATGCTAGATTAGTAGGCTGAGAAATTCCAGATATATGCCCTATACAGTACCATCATTCAACTAGCATTTTAATAAACCATTCTGTATTTTTCAGGAAATGGTGGCAATAAGAAAAAACCAGACAGTGAGAAGGGCACTGAAAAGGAAGATGATGATAACGATGACGAAATAGGAGATAGTGATGAAGATAACGAAAGGGAGGATAATGAGGAAGAGGATGAAGAAGATTAATAATGCTTTCGTAGAGTGGAAGGATACAACTTTTGTATTCCCATTAAAATGACATGAAAATTATACTTTGCTGTGTTTTTTTACATGGGGAAGGTGATCATCCAGTTAGCTTTTTTTTTTTACTTTACTTTCCTGCATTGTGGTTTTCCTCTTGAATTTTCCCTCTAATTTGTTGTAAAAGATCCACATATTTTTATATGAGAAAGAGAACCAAATTGGTGTCTACGCTTTAAATTGCCCAATGTGTGTGTGTATATATATATATATATATTAAAATCTTGGGGGTAAATTACTGGGTTGGTAACTTTTGTATATATTTTAAACCTATGGTCACTCGATCTAGAAATGTCAATACATGATCATTTTTGTTTCGTTTTAATTAAGACGTGATCATTGGGACATTAGTTGCCGTGAGTTGGATGACGTGACACGTTTGTAAAAATGTTTAATTTTTATTTGAACCCTTAAATTTAAGATAATTTACTAATTTTGGGTCTTTTTATAAATCTAAAATAATTTAGGGATAAAAAATCAATTAACCCCTTTTCCCCTTATGTTTTATTCTCAAATCAGAAATGGAAAATCCCAAAAATCAAACCCCCAAATTTTATTTTAATCCCGTCACCATTCCATCGATCTCCCGCCATCATTCGGTCGCCGATGATTGTCACCGTCGATGCCATCGTGAGCGGTTGATGAAAGCGATCAAAACCCCGTTGAGAGTGTCTCGTGAGTCACTTCTGTTCGACGTGAAAAGTTCGTCGAAATTCTGTCGGAGAACTCAAAACCACAACAATGTTATCAACGAATTCCAGTTGATCCAGTCACCGTTAGGCTTCACCGTCACCATCCATGTGCTCCCCGACGTCTTGCGAACAAAACCCTACTGGTGTGAACATCCCTGTCGCCGTCGTGGAAGGGGGAAAGCGTGGAGGTTTTGGGTTTGTTGATAAACGTATGGGAAGAATAGGTAAATTGATATTTTATCATGAACTATTTTAGGTTTACAAAAAGATTCATAATTAGTAATTTATCTCAAATTTAAGGGTTAAAATAAAAATTAAACATTTTTACTAATGTGTTACGTCATCCAACTCATGGCAACTAACGTCTCAGTGACCACGTCTTAATTAAAATGAAACGAAACAAAACAAAACTGACCACTATTGACGTTTCTGAATCGAGTGACAATAGATTTAAAAAAATAAAACAAAAATGATCAACTATGTAGTTTACAATAAAATCTATTGCTAATTGATATATGCTAATGAAAAGGGACAATGATTTCATACTTTACTAGTTTAAAACGAGTTGATGGGATGAATTGGATTAGTTATTTTCTATTTGGATAGTTGGCGTAATCATTACGTTCATCAACTAGTCTTTGGTTCTCCCTCCTTCGGATCTCGTCCATCGTTTTCTATCAATGTTCATCTCAAGGTCGTCTCTTGCTTTTCTCCTTCGCCATTCAAGTTTTCTTTTTCTTTTTCCGGTTAATCATGTTCGTCGTCATTGTTGTTATTGCTCCATGAATCGGAGTTCATTTTTAAATTGTTGTTTCTATCTTATCTTCTACAACTCAGCTTACATCATCAACACATGGTTTAGTTTTGATAACGAAACTTTTGTTTTAGTATCTAAATTATTACTTTTATTATGTTTTGATACCTGAATTTTTGTTTTTACTTTTTTAATAATCATACCTAACAATTGATTTTTTGTATTAACCTAAGATGATTATAAATAGTAGTATCTATTCTAAAGACCTAAATATTTGACAATGAACGGTTAAATACTCTGCAATCGCTAGTAATCGAACCTGAAACCTGTAAGGATAACAATCATCTCTTTAATAATTGAGGTCACTTAGTTCGTGCATACCTAGAGTTTAATTTAGGTTTTAATTTGGTATCACCTCGTTATGGTGACACATCAACATCATCATTAAGTTTTTAATCACAGGGTACCAAAATAAAACATAAATTAAACGTTAGGTATGATTTTAAAAAATAAAATAAAATTTAAGTATCAAAATAAAACAAAAGTAATAGTTTATGCACTAAATATATAATTTGCCCTAAAAAGAATTAAGAATGACATTGCCGAGACGTTGAACTATGATATTATGGTAATGATAAGTCAGTTTAGGGGAGAAATACTAAGGATTAGTATAGATATTATGCTAATGATATGTCTGTTAAATTAAAGGAATATTATTAAACATGTGTCATCCCTAAATCATCATCTTATTTTTTTTATTAAATAAAAGTTATTATAAAATAACATCGCTTATAAATATTTTTAACCGACAATTAACGCTCACGGCAACCGCTACTATATTAGTCATCACCTTATTTTCTAGGTACAACTTATTTAATTACCAAATTAAATTTAAAGTTGTTTATTAACCATTCAACTAATTTTTTTCTTCTTAAAATTAGATTTTATATCATATTTTCCATTCTATTTTGATCGTCAATTATTAAAAGCATAAAACCGCTAAAAATTTTACAATAACTACCTAACATTTCTAAAATCAATACGTCAATATTATTATTAATATTATTACTAATTTTTTTAGTGATAGACACCTAAAACAAAACTAAAATATAACATTATTATTTTAAATTATTAAATTTTATAAAATATATGTTTGACAACTACATGACTTGAGAATTTTAAAATATAATTTTTATACTTTTGTGAACAATAGATTTTAAATAATAATGAGTCAAACTTTAAAAATTAACAAATTTAATGGAACAGAGACTAGTCGTGTGACCACACCGAAACCACAAAAATAGTTGAGTGGCTAGATACATGATTTACACTATTTTCTAACATCCGATGTGCATTGTAAGATCTTCTTTCTCATCCACCGAGTAAACAACATAGGGAAGAGGTAGATCGTTACATCAGTACCTAAGCAGAAAATGAATTAAAAGCTTCAGTTGAAATACCACATGGAAGGCGTGGCTCACGGCCAAATTCTACCATAGTTTCTTGTAGTTTACTTTTCATGCCAGTCAATCGTTTGAAAACAACCAATTGATAAGCGTTTCCAACCAATCTAAAGGTCGGTCACAGACCGGTTGCCAGAACCAGAGCTAGATGTAGGAAAATATCCTCCCCAACCGCTTACTCTTGTAACAGTTCCGAAATGAGGCAAACGCTCTCTTTCCAAAGCATGGTAATTATTTGGGTATGAGCTTTCTGCTTCCTGTGGGTTCTGTCCTGATGAACTCGATCGAGGATAGACATAGTAGCCCTCAGTTTGATCAGGTTGTGGGACTGCTAGGGTCATTGGGTTCATACCTCTTATACCAGGAACTACGGGAGCAGGCACTCCAGGTTGGTTGAAGTGCTGTTGATGGAAACGATGTTGTTGTCTATGATAGGCAAGAGATGGCCAGATTCCTTCATGGATATGAGCACCACTGCCTGGATGACGATGAAAAACTGAAGAGACAACCGAACTCCCGCCTCTAGAACTGGACCTATGAAGAGCAAACAACAATTAAGTGTTCCAGTGGTCAACAACATTCGTGATAAAGAAAAAATAGGGCAAGCTTTTCCAATCACGTTGGATACTTTGTCAATGACATTTGATTTTCATATTTCAATAATCACTGACAATAACATCAGGTGTGTAACCAAACGTGTCTCAGCTAGCATGGCATCTTACCCATGCTCAAATGGAGAAGGATGTCGAAAAGAGCTGGGTCTAGTCGCAGCATCAAGCTCACCATTAGAAGATCTCGGAGCTGCAGCTGGAAGAGAAGTTGGATCAGTATTGCTCATATGGCTATTGGATATAGAGAAATTTGAAGAATGACAACCCCAACAATGATATTGGATACTAATGGTGGGCAAAACATGAGGGATGAAAATCTCGTTGTGTGCAGAGATATGTTCCAATGGCGATTGAAGTTGGAATCACCACGCAATCACTATTTCCTAAAGTAGTGGATGGAAGTGGACCAATCGCAACATATGAATGAGCCACAGATGAAGCAGGCAGCGTGTTGCAGCAACTATAGGGTGGTGTCCATATATTTCATGAACTACGTGGAGAAGGATTTCAATTTTGAGTCACATAGTTGTTGGCTCTCATTGAGTCACCAGAGAATAGGGATGAAGAGAGTAACAGTAATCATAGTAAAACTTACATGTAGTTGATGGAGATTCGACTTCCCTGAAATTTATGATAAAGAATTATGTCAGAGGGCAGCAAAGAGTTTATCAAAGGAACTCCCAAACATTTTTCAGTAAACAACAATCAAGGTTCGTATAAAACTGTTTTTCCCTCTTGTCTTACAGTTCTGTCATGGTGAACAAGAGAAATGAGAGATTGGCACCATAAGAAAAGTAGAAAACTGCAGTAGCAAAACCAAAACGGAAGTTCAAACGATCGTAAAAACTAAAAAGAGAGTTCAACACCTGCAAAACATTCAGCACTACCTATAATCATTCCGTTATGATTTTAAAACCCTATACTCAGAAAGCGATAACACAAAGATCCTTTAAATGGCTTTATCATTCCAGGAAAATGTATTCTCAAAGAAAGAAGATGTAAATTGCTTGCTTTTGAGACTCAAAGATTTTAAAATGTGACAAGTTCCATAGAATGGGTTGCAATAAAGCAATAAGCTATTTTCTGCAACTTAAACAGTTCAAGAGAAGATAGAATCACTTTGACCTGGTTAGTCTATTTCCTCAAAGCAGTTAGAGAGAAAAATTTCAAGAAGAAACCTACTCTAAGTGAGAGAAGCTTATTATTATCATGGCCGTAACAAAGCTTGAATACTACAGAAATAAAACCCATGAAAAAGATAAACTAGATAAAGAAGACACTAGTATCAGAGAAAAGTATACCAACCAAGCAACTAAATTGTACTGAGCAATTTTGTTAATAACCTGTCAGCACTAAATAACTAAAAGTTCAAGAGAATAGTTTTAATAGTTTGATAATCGAAGTACCAAAAAAAAGTCAAAATGAAATCAACACCACAAAAAGAGAGATATTGCTTACTCATATGATGATCCAACTCCTGTGAATTCGCCAAATGGACACCATTGAGCTCTAAACTGCTGCTAAAAAAAGGTACTAAGTGTGATCACAAGGATATCATATGAATTACACATTGTGAGGAAGAATTACCTATACTTTAATAACTGAAAAGAAGAGGATTCAAAGGAGAAAACCATGTCACACATATTTAACAACGTCGGCAATTGAAATAAACAGAAAGAAGAAAAACGAAAACGACGCTCTTGAACTTTTCTTTCTGTGAACACTGTAGCATAGAGATGGCATATACCATATTTCTCGTCATAATATATATCGAACTAAAAGACCACGATTTGGGGCAATCATTAGACAAATGTCAATATTTTGCAAACATAATATCACATCAGGTTAAGAAAGCAGCTAATCGCACATATTGAACACTGTGTTTTAACTTTTAACATGATAAGACTCAACAATACCAACAGATAGAAAACATAGGAGTTTGCTATATACCATTTCAGAATAAACAGGATCATAATACTCCTCCTCAACACTCCACTCCTCCATGGTTAGCTCAGGAAGTGATTGGGTGGATCCCCTTGCATACAGCCACTGACCTTTTTCAACCTTCCGGCAATTTGGGCATTGCATAGCCCCCTTCATATTAAATGCTGAACCAATGCAATCTGCAAGCATGAGACATAAGCAGGAAATTATCCAAGCCAAGAATGACAGAATGAAGGACACTGTCAAACAAAAACACAACATGACACAAAGCAACATGCAAAAAACATAGTTCAAGTAGAAACGGTAAATGCATGTAACTTGTTTCATCTAAAAATCTCATTGCCTTTCATTTCTTAGCTTATCAGACAACCTTAAGATACACGCCTAAACGTTACCGGTCCTTTTGAATGGCAATGAATTGATCATTGAATCCGTATATCAACACGACCAAGATTATCCAACTAGATTTCCATGCTAATAATTTCACCGACTTTGCCTTATTTTTCCTTACAACGAAGTTCAAAACGGGCGAGATGTTAACATGCAGCAACATAACTTCATAAATAACTGTTTACCCAGAAAAGAAGCTTGGTTTTTAAAAAAATAAAAAGCATCGTGATTAAGAAACATGAAATTACCTAGATGGAATTGATGACCACAGTGAAGCTTAGCCCAGGATCTGCCTCCGGTATCGGAGACCAAATCGAGGCAAATGGAGCATGATACCTCAGAAGACGGGGGAACAGCAGCATCCTCATCGGGACCGTCCATCAAGTGATGATGATCAAGATCGGGATCAAGTTGAGAGGGCTTCTAGCACACCATATCCTTCTTCCACCGATCAAAACGACTGAGTTTGAGTTCCAAATATTCTTTTGCTTTGGTTTGTCGGTGCTGTGTGTGCTTGGTTTGGATGCTAATCCCAAGCTTGGGTATCCGAGCTGTCAGATTTCTTGGATGGGACTTTCAACAGTTTTATACGGACTTCTGTCTTTTAATGGATTTTCCTTCTGTTTTAGCAAAAGTCAAAATAAAAATAAAATTGCGAATGTTCATTGAACCACAAAAGACCACACATGGGCTCCAGCCCAACCTCCTAAAAACCACCATCCTGAACCAGAGAGATTAGGAGCAAAATTTAGGATAAAAAAAATTAATGCTAAAAAGTCCTATCAAAATAATGGAAAATTATACTCTTCAATCAAATTTTTCACCCAACGGGACCTTTCAGTCAACAAACATAATTAAGCAGGTCTTTCCTCATTTATAATTTCAATTACTTAATTAATTTTAGCTGCTAATTTAACAAATGATCAATTAAATAATTAATATGTAATATTTCTAAAATTAAAAATATAAAAAATCATAAAAAATTTTACTAAAAGTTATCAAAAAAGTATAAATTCACCAACGGGGTTGATTCAAGTGGTACGCAGTTTGATATCGCTTAAGCAATGTCTTATGTTCGAGTTCTTGTGTATACAGAAAATACCCGCTGGGAGACTTGCCCATCAAAGCTAAATGTGCGACCCGGTTCAATTCACATTAGTCAGGACGAAACCCTGAAAGGAAAAAAGTATAAATTTGTGATAACATTATAAAAATATTTAAAAGTATGAAGCCTATTAAAATATAAATTGCATAGATTTTAATAAAATTCTAATAATGTTACGAAATTGCGACGAATAATTATAAGAAATTACAAATAAAAAAAATAAAAATACATATTTCATATGAAAGTTTTAGATTAAAAAGTCATAATATAAGAGAAGAAATTCAAAATCACCAAAATTATTTAAGAGAAATATAAACTTAAGCTTAAGCACACAAAAATATTCTAAGTACATATATGTGTACGGCCCAATAGACAATATTCACATCTACTAAAAAATATATATTTTTACCTTAAATAATTTTTTATCAGATGAGTTACACTACGAATATTTTAAGTCGGACCAAATAAAATTCGGGATATGGTATTTAATAAATAAATTTTATAACTTTTTGACGTGACACCTTCAAGATACGATTAGTGATGGGTATTGAGTGGGACGCACGTATTGATTTTTAAGGATAAATTATACTATTATTCACTGAAATTTTATTTTATTTATCGTACTTTTAATTTTTTACTTTGTACACTAAATTCTTACCCCCACCTTCTCCGACCACAATCTTGATCGCCCCTTTTAGAACCACCATCATCCCAATCAAGCTGCCATAAACAACCCAATCAAAGCTTCAAGGATTCCATTTTGACCCATAAGTCAAAAATTCCTTTTTTTCATTCGAACAAACAGAGAATAAAAGAGAAATGGAGGAAAGTTGAGGTTGTGGGAAGGAAATTGAGAGTGATGGTGGAGGGCAAAATGGGGAGAAAATTGTTGGTGGGGTTGATGGGAAGGGAATTGAGGGTGATGGTGGAGGTGGAGGTGGAGGTGGAGGTTAAAATGGTCTTTAGGTGGCTGAGGCTGGGTTTGATGGGGGATGGAGCAGGAGGTTGATCTGGTCCCTAATGTGTATGATATTATATTATTATATTTTTAATTTAGCAATATATAATAAATTATTAATATTTATCTATTATTTTTATAAATATAATATTATTAAATTATTAATAATGAGTAATATTAATTTATATATTTAATATTAATGTACTAATTTAGTATTATGTTAATAAAATATTAATAATTAAAATTAAATGTATTCAAATAGTTAATTCAACCACCTAGTGAATTAAATTATCATTAATTGAAAAAATTGAATCTTTTTTCTTTAATCATTAATTGAATCAATTTTTTTTGAAAATATTAACCGAACACAATTTTATTCATTTTATGTAAATCATTTTCTATAAAATTAATTATAGTGTATCAAATAATTAGTGAACATGATTTACACAATATCATCAAAACACTGTAAAATAGTTTCCGAAAACTATTTCCTAAAAATTATAATTCATTATACGTAAAACAATTTTAAGCAATTCATTCTACATAAAACAGTTTCCATGTAATTCATTTTAATTAAAACAATTTTCATGTAATTCATTTTAATTAAAACCGTTTTCAGGTAATCAATTTTATTATTTTCTAAAAAACTAATTACAGTCTATCAAACAGACCCGTAATTGGCTGATTTGGATTTGACGTCTTAAGAATGAGAAAGGTTGATAACAGCTTGGTAAAGCCGTTAAGGTATAAATATTTGAAATGCATTTAGCTGTTTGCAGGCATGTAAATGAATCGAACGAACACGAACGGGGTATGTTCATGTTCGTTCGTTTAATTTTAACCAAACAAATGAACGAACACGAACATAAACGAATAAAAAATTTATTGTTCATATCTGTTCGTTAAGGAATGTAGTTTTTTCATGTTCGTTCATTTAAATGATAAACAAACACAAATGCGTGAACATAAACGAACATAATAAACAAACGTACACGAACAAACGAACGAACGTAAATGAACACAATAAATGAACATAAACGAACATAAATCACAACAACAATAAACACATAAAATCCATTAGTATAAATTGCAACTTTATAGTTAATTTGTATTTAATTGTTTTAGCTTTTTCATTTGTATTTAAAATTAATTGAATTTAAAATACTAATGGGTATCAGATTAAAATTTATTATAACTTAATATTTTAAATGGGTCTAGAGAGATTGAGCTAAACATAAATGAATAAAAGTAAACGAACATAAACAAATATATTATCGAACGTTCACGAACGTAAATGAACGAACGAATCCTCTGTTCGTGTTCATTTATTTAATTAAACAAGCACAAAATCTTGTTCGTATTCGTTCATTTAATTAAACAAATACAAAATCTTATTCATGTTCGTTTGTTTAATAAATAAACGAACTTTCACCTAACGATTTACAACGGTTCGCTGAACTTTCATTTCGTATACATGCCTAGCACTTTGCACTCTTGCGTCTTTCTTCTTCTGTTTCTACTCCTAATAATTCCTTTACTTTGGATATCCAATACTAGGAGTAGGGCTACTCCAAGCCAAACTATCTACTTACACTTTTATTCCTTTTACATAGTCTTTCCTCTTTTTGCACCAATCCGGTGAGAATCTACTATACTATATTAGAAAAACATTTTTCAATACAATAATCCTAATCTCATTTAATATATATATATATATATAATCCTAATTTTAGTTTTTTATTGAAAAATAAAAATATATCACAATAAGATGGTTTAATTATAGGAAGTTCTACCTAACGACAGTCTTAATATATAGATAAAGAAAGACGTTATTGATTTTATTATTATTTTTATAACAAAACCGATAAAAAATTACCTAAAACATTATTATTTCTATCTAAAATATTAATATTTTTAACATTTTCGGTAAAGTGCCCAATAATAACAAAACCGGTAGCACTTTACCGGATATGTTAACAAAACCGGTAAATCTCCCAATAATAACAAAATTAATAGAAATAATAATGTTTCCGGTAATTTTTTACCGATTTTGTTAAAAATAATAATAACAAAACCGATAATATCTTACCTTGATCGTATATTAAGACTACCACACGTTATATTTTCCATTCAATTATCAATTCATAATGGTTTTGATTATAGACAGAGTACACGCTCTATATACTATGGCTGTTCCGATTCGAGACTTCGAGAAAACAATTTACTTATTAAAAATTCTTTAATAAATTTAATTAAAAAATTAATTTAACTGATTCCATCACCGATTAATTTTTCATTAGTACACCCACCCCCTTCCCCATCTTTGATTGTTCCTAAAAGAATAATTCAATCAAATCTTATTGTAAAAAAAAAGAAGAAGAGGAGAGAAAAAAATGAATGTTGTAGGGCCGAATGAAAAAGGAGCGCGACCCTCCGCCTTTAAAATAAGCGCCGATCGTTTATGATTTCCATCAAATCTCAACGCTTCCAAGTTTTCGAATTGAGGAGCACAGCGGGAACAAACGATGGTAAACTTTACCTTCTATCTTTGTTTTTCTTATATTGTAAACTTTACAAACTTTGATCTTCCCACCTATCATTTGCTCCACTTCCTTCAGTTTCCCAGAAACGGTAATAAGATCTAAAGCCGTATCACTATTTCACAATGCATTTGATGTAAAAGAGCGTTTCTCTTCTATTTTTTAATATTACCGAGTGATTACAAGACAATATATGATTAGAATCTTTCTACACACCTGCTGGAACTCGGTTAGAATATCATTCTCGACTGAGTCCACTCGATGGCTTCTTTCGACTTGTTTTAGATATTCTATCTTTATTAATCTCGTGAATCTTTAATGGGTTTTTTTTACAACTGTGCTCTTCTGCTTCATTTCTAAAACTTTTTTTTTGGAAATTTTTTCACAACCCCCGTTGAATTTCAGAAAAGGAAAATGATTTGTTTTAAGTTCTTTAGAGGACTATACTTTAGAGGTATTTAATGCTTCGACTAAAATCTGAATTAGCTTTGTGTAGCATGCCATATGCTAATGTTGTGTGCTATGGGCCGACCAGCACACATTTTCGCAGGACGGGCGAAATTCGGATGAGTTGAAACCAAACATTGCTGATATGTCTATTTTTGTGAGCTTCTCAACCCCGGTTTGTAGGATGTAATGATAATTATTTTCCATTTATGCTGTTTTGCTAGTATCCTTTTAATGATTTCTTTGACTGATTTTTTGTAGGTGCAAGATCTTCTTCAACAAATGGTGAGTTATAATAAGACCCTTTGTTGTTTGAAATATCTCGGTTATTGACAAATGTTTAGTTTACAGCAAACCAGGTTTCAAACAATGTCTGATTCCATTATTGCAAAGAATATCTTTTTCTTTTTAATTTCATTAACATGTTATGAAATGTCGTTGAGTTGCTTCATTTATGTGAAATATATTTTACATGGAAAAATGTATATTTTTCTTTATTTAGCTTTTCCATTGTATTGTTATACGAGTAGGTCAAATTGGGTAATCTGTACTATACTTTCATATTTGTCCAGTTATTGGGAAATCTAGGGATATGAGGCTAAGCTGAGACTGTTTTGAACCTTTATCTAATGTCTGTTTTGCAGGGCAGACATGAAGAAGTTTGAAACTTTGTTCTGTTTTGCAGTATTTTAGTATTAATCGAAATGGAAATAGTTAATTAGTTACTTTTGTTTTTCTCTGAATTGTGTGACTTCTATTGTTAACTTCAAAGCACTTGATGAAATGGGAGACCGTAGAAACAAGCTGGAGAACAGCATCAATGACCTAAAAGCAGAGATGGGCGTGGATGGCTCTCCTTCCCCTTTAGCCCCATCAAAGCAAAAATAAGAAAGAAAGCAATAGGATGGCTCAGCATAAAACTTGGCCAAAGATTGTGTTTAGCAGTTGATTGTGATTGTAATTAGGTGATATCTTGTTTCGATTGAGACTACTTTGGCAAGCAAGAGTAGGGACATTACTATGTGTCCCTCTTTTCCAATTTTTTTTTTACATGTACCAAGTTCTTCTGTGCACCGTGTTGTTTAGCAATTCATAGAGGGAAATAATGATATGAAGTGGTTTCTGTGCAATACCAGGTGCAACGCAATCCCAGATCTTTGAAATGCTACATGAAGTTTGAGAGATAATGATTAAAGTTGGCTTTCAGAATATGATCTGTCCTAGTTCACATTTCATCTTAAAACAGTTACGAGTGCTTATACGAATCAATTGGATTAAATCTGTGTAACATCAATTCAGGCTATTTTTGGGATCATTTGAGTTTGAGACCAGAGTTTTGTCAAGTCATTTGGTTTAGTAACTGTTTTTAAAACTGGAGAAATTGAAACTTGAAAGGTAAAATTCTGAAGCATCAAAATTAGAGTTCAAAGAGAGAAATGGTTACAAGATAGCATATTTGGCCATATGGGTGTTTCTTCAACAGCATATGTGATGTCTCCATCTCATCTGAGGGGAGCTTGACGTTCTATCCATAAATCCCAGTTTATTGCAATGTTTCTTTCTCACAAATGAGAAACAAATGACAGAAAGAAAAGGAGGCAGAAGATTAACCTTAACCACGGCAATGAGTAATGGTGCTGCATCCTCGGTTGTATGGATTAGCTTCCACTCCCGGCTGACAGTTATAGTAGGACACCCCCCTTCAAGAGCATGGCACGGTGTCCCTGTGCAGAGCCCCATAGCTTATGTACTTCGTGGTTTGCTATACCCCCCTGCTAATCTCGGAGTCCATGTCGAACTCATCATTCGTCATGCACTCGGCCTCTGAGGCCCGACAGCCAGCCTCAGCCGGAACCAAACTAATGTAGTGCTCACCGCTCGAGTCGACGGTCAACGGGGTGCCAATCAGTGTTGTGAGGAAAACAGAAATGACCAGGGGAAAACCAGAGGCATCAGCCATTTCTTTCTTTTTCCCTTTTGTTGTGGGTGCTCAAGTTGCTTTAAGACATCTTGTTTCTATAAAAGCCACCGATGAGGGAAATTGTTGACCGATGACGAAGGTGCTGTATTGATTTTATAAAGACCTGGAAGAAAGCACAGTACATGTGCCACAAGATCCAAAACTTACCCCATTCTAGTTGGCTCTTCACTTATATATTGTCTCGCATTGTTCTAAGCCTATGCAACTTCCAGTTACTCGAGACTCTCAATTCTCTCCACAAAGCAGTGTCCACATTCATTCATTCACTTAGCTGTCATTAATCAACAATATAAGAGCTATGACATTCAAAAGATTGCAACTTCAATTTCATGACAGATGAACACAAACCTTAATACATTCTACTCAAAGGCTGCAGGAAAATTAGGAGACAAAATCACACAACGCTGAGGCCAAAATGCAATCAAGATTACAAACCCCTCATTCTTATTCACTAAATAATAATTACTAATAGCTTTGGATTGCAACCCAAGTCTTCAAACTTTCTGCTTCTGCAGATCTAGGACCTTAATCCAAGACGGCCTTGCCGTGATATCATCCACCCAAGCAGCAACATGCGGGCGAGACTCAAACAGCTTCTTGACCGAGCTCCTCTTAAAAAACTCAACATTAGGCAGGTGATGCAAATCGGCCAAGGTGAAGTGGTCACCGGCCAAGTACTTGGACTGAGCCAATCGAGCCTCATACACATCCAAAACTTTGGCAAGCTTAGCTTCATGTTCGTCGACGACTGCGCTGTCGGGAGTCATACCGACGAAACGCTTAAACCGCAGTTCATAGATAAGCTTCGCCGATGGAGGATCGAATTGGTGAGATTCAACTTCCTTCCACAAATGAAGAACCGCCATAGTCTTGTTAGAGCCAGGCAACAACAGTTGGGTGCCTTTATCGGAGTACTCATGGGCGATGTATTGGGTTATGGCCCTTGATTCTGCATTTTTACAGAAGTTCGAACTTTGGGTTAGCTAAAATAGTGGAAATAACGAAGGATTTAAGGGAACTTGACCCTTACCAAAGAGCTTCAAGTCCCCTTCTTCAAAAGCTGGAACTTGGCCAAACGGCTACATCAAATCAAACCAAATGATGTCAAAAATGGGTTTAGTGAAAACGAAAGATCTGCAATTAATTTACTTACGTTGTGGGAAAGGAAGTTTTCTGATTTGTGTTCACCAGCTGCCATGTCGACATTAACAAACTGAAACTCCACATCTTTTTCGTAAAGGCAAGCAAGAACCCTCTGAGTGGCTGTTGACAAAGGATTTCCATGAACTTTCATGACTGCCATAGTTGTTTGATCTACTGTAAACTTGTTCAACACCCGCCAAACATGAGATCTATTATGTTTTCAGAGGAAGAAGAAAACTCTATATATTGCTGGCAGGATGAACCGTTTCATCATTCTAGAATCCTCCAATTTAAAACGTTACAGGTGGCATGAACTACGTGTTTCAATGACATCCAAGTTTTTAATCCGTTCACACTACTCAAGTGTGGAACCAAAAGAGAAAACCTGTGTTCATGCATGGATCAACGAAGATGGACCCATGGGACCCTTGTTTACAGAGTCTCATTAATTTAGACAGCAGAGGCCTTCAATGTGAAGCGTCTTATTTTGTGGCCTAGATTTGTCTTTGGTCAACTAAATTACTGATCCGATAAAGTTGATGTACGACAGGATAAGAAATGATTTTTCCAAATAGTTTCTCCAAAATAGTTTAGGTTCATTAATTCCATGATATTAAACTGATGAATATTTACTGTCACACATATATAATATTAAGATTATTCAACATATTTAATCCACTTCTTTTATATATTATATAAATAATAATTTCATCAAATTAAATCCAATCAACATCTTCTCTTATATTTTCAGAATACAACGTTTACACAAAAACTTAAATTTCATGACGGTTGAAAACAAATTTAATATCTTCAACTAGAAGGCTGAAGGAAAATTAAGACACAATAACACATAGGCTGAGGCAAAAGTGCAACCAAGATTACAAACCCTCATGCTTATTAATCAATAGCAATAGTATTAGATTGTATCCCAAGTCTTCAAACTCTCTTTGAGCATATCTGGAACCTTAATCCAAGACGGCCTTGCCATAATATCAGCCACCCAGGCAGTAACATGCGGGCGAGACTCAAACAGCTTCTTGGCCGAGCTCCCCATCAAATACTGAACATTTGGCAGGTGATGCAAATCCGCCAAGGTGAAGTGGTCGCAAGCCAAGTACTTGGACTGAGCCAATCGAGCCTCGTACACATCTAAAACCTTGGCAAGCTTAGCTCCATGTTCCTTGGCAACCGCTGTGTCGGTAGTCATCCCAAAGAAGGGCTTATAACGCAGTTCATAGACTAGCTTCGTCGATGGAGGATCAAATTGGGGAGCCTCAACTTCCTTCCACAATTGAAGACGTGCCATAGTCTTGTTGGAGCCGGACAACAACAGTTGTGTCCCTTTATCGGAGTATTCATGGGCTATGTATTGAGTGATGGCCCTTGATTCTGCATTTTTACAAAAGTTCAAATTGGGGTTAGTTCAAATTGTAGAAATAACAAACGGTTTTGAGGAAAAATTATTAGAGTAGTTTCCGGTTAGTAAAATCCATCTATCTCATTTTTTTTAGTTGAATCTTTATCTCTTTCGTATATATAAATAAGAAATGAATAGTCTAATAATTTCTCGATGTTAAGGGAACTTGACCTCACCAAAGAGCATTAAGTCTCCTTCAAAGGCTGGAACTTGACCAAATGGCTGCATCAAACCAAACCAGATTTAGATTAAAAAAATGGGTTTAGTGAAAACGAAAGATCTTACGTTGAGGGAAAGGAAGTTTTGTGATTTGTGTTCACCAGCTGCCATGTCTACATTAACAAACTGAAACTCCACATCTTTCTCGTAAAGGCAAGCTAGAACCCTCTGAGTGGATGTTGATAAAGGGTTTCCATGAACTTTCATGGCTGCCATGGTTGTTTAATCGACTGTAAAATTTGTTAACATCCAGGGACGGAGCCATAATTAAATATTGGCAGAGGTCGAAATATTAAATTATTTAAGAAAAATATAAAGATTTATTAGGTATTTAAACTCGAAATTCAACATGAATCAACCGATCTTAGTGATTAAGATATTGTTGTTATCCTTGAAGTCTCGAGTTCAAGCACGTATGTAGAGGTATAAGTGTTCATTGTCAAATAGTTGAAAGTATTTGTATATATATTATATTGTATTCACCCTAAATTTTAAAAAAACTCAAAACTCAAAAGATAAATTCTAATTTATCTAATATTTAAACTTACAATGACTTAAATTGTAATTAGACAAAAAATTTATGAACACGGACTTATCATTTTTAGTTCGATTCCTACTTAATTAAATATTTAATAAATTTTTTATATTTTTTAAATTTAAATATTTATCTTTACATGAATCAAAATACTATTAAACTAAAATTATATTAAATATATAAATTTTAACAAGATGAAATAAGCGAGCTCTGTCCCTGCCAACATGCTAATATGAGAAATATTATTTTTTCAGGGGGAAGAAGAAAAATCTATATAAGGATGAAGCGTTTCATCATTCTAGAATGGCCCAATTGAAAACGTGTTTTTATTCCGTTCACACTTATCAAGCGTTAAACCAAAAAAACGTGTTTTCATGCGACAAGGACAAAATGTGAAACCGTCGATGTTATCGAGGAATCCCCTTTGCAATTTTTCATTTATTTGAATAGCAAAGCGAGAAATTATTTTTCATTCATGCTACTAATAAATAATAGTCATAAATTTTAAAATAATTTCTAAATCACTATTCATTTTTTATTTATATATAAGAAAGAGATAAAGATTCATCTTAAAATAATAATATAGATAAATATTATTTAAAATTATAAATGACGTGACGAGTAGAACCATCAAATAAATTCTCGAAACAGTGGGAACTTCGAAATGTAAGGTCGTTGTTTCCAATGACGCCTTATTTTATGGCCTAGATTTGGTATTGTTCAACTAAATTATGGAACCTACAAAAAGTTGATGTATGATACGAGCAGACATGATAAATGTCGCAATTGCCTTTCGGGTGGGGATGATGACAAAATCTAGGGTCTATAATAAGAAATGATTTTTCTAAATCTGTTCATAGATTCTCCTCAAGCCACACAAGGACGATAATCAATATTGACATCTCATTAAAAAACCTCTCTAAACTTAAATGGAGAAAAAAGAGTGTCCCAACCTAAGCCGCAATTAATCAAATACATACATGAATGATTAATAAAAAATAAGAGTTGTTCCCGACTAGAAGTTATAAGCACGAACTCTAACAACATACAAAATTTAGCAACAAGGCTAGTTCACAAACACAACCACAAAAATTCCATATAAAGAGCCCCACAATGAGATTAAATTACTAAGAGCCAATGGTAAATCCCTCAAACCGTTCCAGAGATCTTCCTTCAACATCCACTATCAATTATGCATCCTCAAATTAAATAGAAAACTATCGTAGCTCAACAAAAATACCCTGCTGCTCAAATCTGATCGATTTGTTTAACCAAAGGTACTTTGCTTGGAAACCTCTGTATTCACAATACTCTCATTCAGAGTGATTCCCACTTTCCCCAAATTTCACAACACTTTAAACTGCCCATCTTTTCATAAACTTAGTGCAACTCCAAGTTCAAACATCAAATTGGGAGTAAATGTCTTTGTCATCCATCCAAAGCTTTTAAGACCTCATGTAGGAGCTAGCCATAGGCACTGAACAGAATTACCTACGTAGCCAGATCTCTCCTTTAATTATTACTTGATCATTAATACGGTGCAGTAAACATTAAATAGACAAACTCTTGAAATTCTTGTGCAGCAAAGAGGATCAGTTGGCTTGAACAAAACACCACACGACTCTGCAAAACCTGTTCACAGCACGGAGAAAACTACAGGACACCATCAACTAGTTATATGAACTTTCATCCACACGAAAGGGAAAACTCCTCGAGCACCTTCTTGAGCTAGGTCATGTGCTTCTATATTTCTCTCTCTATGAGCAAAAGAAGCCTTCCAGGACCAACTTAAGCATGTCGCCCTACATTTACCGACTAAACCTTCATGAGGCTTTGGTGCGCTACTGGGGTTCTCGATCCAATTTACAACTACAAGGCAGTCCAATTCAATTATTAAGATGCCATTCTCATCCCACCTAGAAGAGGAGAATACTTGCACTCTTCAAGTATAACAATTTGTTCATCACTTAAGGGATCCAAAATTCCGATGTTTCTATAAAAAAGAATAAGTATCTCCCCCCTGTGGTCACAGAGAATTCCTCCTATTCCAGCTTCACCAACGCTGCTATAAACTGCCGCATCCACATTAAATTTCAATTTACCTAATGAAGGTACAATCTAAGAACAATTTGATGGTCTTCTCTGCTGGTGCAAATTAAAAGATATTGCATATGGGCATCTTTTAAAGTCATTGAGAGAGATAAACGCCTCCGACAATTTTATTTTGGCCCAAATTCCAATTCTCAGGGTCACTAAATCCACGATACTCTTTACCTCCCAACCTTTGTTGTTGAATATCATCTCATTGCGAGCCAACCAAAGGGACCAAACGATGCCGAAAAATGCTAACTGCCATAGAGGATTCACCGATAGTTTTGGTGACAATGTTTCCCATATTAGGAGAAGATTTCTCAAAGTTCTCGGCATAACTAGATTAACACTTCAACATTTGCACCACTCCTGCCAGACAATCCATGAAACCTCGTATTGACAAAAAAGATGGTATGACGTTTCTTTTACTGTTTCACAGAATGCACACTTATCCCTTTCTACGTTGCAGACACCTCGCTTTAAGAGTTCAACCCTTACTGGGACACGGTTTTGGATTGCTCTCCAAACAAAAGAACTCCACTTTCGGTGGAGCCAATCCTGCCCAAACAAATTTCCAAATGCGGTCAGCAGACTCATGCCAAATAGATTTTCATCCCAGCTTAGGTTCATTAATTCAATATTGTTATCTTTAAAGAATTTAAGTTTAAACAATTATATTGCACGAATCAACTTACCTAATTAGTTAAAAGAATTGTTGTTGTTCTTAGAGGTCACGGGTTCGAGCATCAATGACTGCAGCAGGGTGGTTGAACGTTCAATGTCAAATGGTTGAGAGTGTTTAGAACAAATACTATTTTGTAATCACCTTAGCTTAATAAAAAAAGTTTAAACAATTATATATGTTGTAGGTTGTATGTACAATATGCATGGTTAATATATTAGAAAATTCTAAATATATGTTATCTTATAATCACTTTAGAATTTAGATTATTAATTTTTTTTATAATTTAAATTTAAAATATACAATAATTTTTTAAATATTCTAGGGTGATTATAAAGTTATATATATTCATAATTTTTATTAACTATTGACAATGTACACATTCACTACTCGAATCTAAGACCTTAAAAGATAGCAACATTTTATTTAACCACATATGTATTAAATGTATTCATTCTATTTACTTTTTTTATATCATTTAATAATTCCATCAAATTAAACCCAATAATTATTTTCTTTAATATTTTAGGAATACATCGTTTACACAACTTTGTCTTCCACCTATGTATCAAGGTCTAAATATATAATAATAGATATAATAAGGTTTGTTTAAGAAAAGTATGCTTAAATTTTACATCTTTCTATTATTAGTTTTTCTTCTTCTGCTCGACAAGATGATTAATTTTATTAAAAAAGACCTAAATTAAGAGTCTCATTAAAAACCTCCCTAAACCTAAACGGAGGATAAGAGTATTCTTAACTAGAAAAAGAAAGATTCATTATATGCTTAAATTTTTAATAATACTAATGACTTCTACAAAAAAAAATTAAATTGGGGGAGAAAAGGAAGCACCAAGACGATAAATAGAAACGGGTTCTTATTGGGCTTAGGTTGGGTTTGAGTTGGGTAAGGAGAAGGGTTTGACGCTTTAAGCATGATAGTGGATCTTATTGGTACATGGAGATGTTTGGGGGGTTTTGTAGGTGATGAAGAATGAGGTTGACGATGTTGTGAAGGTCTTATTTTATGGGTATGGTGAGGTTAAAAAGTGATCACTTATGTGAAGTCTCTTGATAGGTCCTACAACAACAGATAACTGATACTATATGAAAACTGCAGATCAGAGTCTTCTTCCCCATAATCATGTTTTAATCTTAGATTTGCAGATGAACTGAAGCTAGACTCTGCACATATATTGGACTACATATCTATGCCCCAGGTCTTAACATGGATTTTGATATGTACTGTATATGCATGAAATGCAAGTTGCATTGGCACTAATTTGGTGCCAAAATTAACCAATGCTTAGTTAATACAATCGAAGTAAATTGATATTTACTAGCAATTGATAAGTTGATATAGAACATAATCCCTCGAATTTCACCTTCCCTTGATACACACACAACAATTCAGGCACTTCCTCCTGATATCTGCTCACAAACCTCTCCAAGAACCGTTTCTCCACCGGCAGCAGCACCGTCGTTAAGCTGAAATCTTCTTTTATCAATCCCTTGGTCTACAGAATCTGGAAAACAGAACTCCTGGGGATTTTTCTCTTCTCCAGGCTGAAGAACAAGACCACAGGGCATTCAGATATAGCTCTCGATGGCCACCCCATTTCATTCACGAAATAATCCATAGTCTTCGTGATTTTCGTCTCCGACAGCATCATGGAGTGAGGTTGTTTCCTAAACGCCGAGAGGATATCATCTTTAGACCAACCCCATCGCTTGTAAACCTCGAAACACTTGTCCCATATCAACTTGTTTCCTTTCCGGGAAAGGGCGTGAATCGCCAACACAAGCGTGGATTTCCTCTGCTCGAACCCCATTTCCTTAACCCCTCTCACGGTTTCACACAAGGATTCGTGTTTTTGCATCACGGTTTCAGGGAAATGGGTTAATAAAAGGGAGACACAATTCTGCGGCACCCCTTATTCTTTCAAATAAGCTACGTTGGGGATAAGACTCCTTACCATGTAGTGCGTTTCAAGGCAGTAACAATCTTCTTTCTCATCGGAGAGCAAAACACTCTTGAGAAACTCGTAAGTGGGGATGATTTTGTTCTCTAAGCTTCGAGTCAAAAGGGTTGTTTCCGATGAAAGAGTCCTCGCAAGTTCACTGCTTGACAACCCGATAGACCGGAAAAACTCGAGCTTTGGCAGAAGGATGTTATGGGGATGGGATAAAAGAAGCCATGGGCGTTTCCTGATGAGATTCGAGTTATTGGTTTTTGAGAACCCGTAGTTTCTCAAAAGAGCTAAGACCAAATCGGGTCTCTCAGGGGACTGGAACTGTATCTTCTCGGAAACTGCAATGGCGGACTCTAAGGAAAGGCCGCATGAGTTCATAAGCTAAGTGACGGCGAAAGGGCGTTGCTCGGGGGTGCCTTTGGGTTGAGCTGGTTTCCAAGGTGCAGAAGAGATTGATGGATAGTCCGGCCTTAGGGTTTTGAAGTTTTGGTTTACTGCCATTGTTGAAGATTTTGAATCAATAAAGATAATGGTTAGTTTCTTTCGGAGATTAAAGAAATTAGCCATTGTGGAAAATCACTTCCACTTCGCAGTGGGCTTGACTTTTGGACAATGGGATGTCTGATTATTGGGAAATCACCATTAATGGTTGAAAACCTGAATCAGAAACCAAACAAAGAGAAGAATTGCGAACAAAGAGAAAGCAATTAGAAATTGACAGCGGCGGCGGCCGACGAGTTTTAGGGTAGTAACCAAAATTATTTTGGGCCAGTCTCACAAAACTACTTCAACAACCTAAACTAAGATTGAATTTAATTATTTTCTAGTGACCCAATAAACCCAATTTCTTTAATATTCACTAAGCTTTTCTTCCTTCCTGAAAAAAAACACAGCTGTCAGCTGATGTCTTAAATCTTGAAATTTTAATTCCAATTATGTCCGTAGTTGGCGGGTTTGTGAAGATGCCTTGAAATTGAACACCGATAATTCATCAAGTATGAGTTCTAGAGGTCTGAAATAATATTATTAAACAATCCATGCCCTTCGTTGTGCCGTTAACGATAGACGGGTAAAATTGTATTGTGTAATTTCATTTATAAACCCAAAATTGTCAAGTTTTAAGATAATTTGCAAAAGAAAATTTTAATGCAGAAAGTTATTTGCACACAATATGAAAGAAAGAAAGAAAGCAATAATAAAACCATTTATACACCATAATTGCATTTTAAGAATATTAAGTTTCCTTTGTATTTGAACAATTTCCACAGCCACCCAAGCGAAAAGAATCGTCATGATGATGGGACTGGGAGTGCAAGCGACGGTGCTTTCTTGATTTGTTGAACGAGTAATTTCTTTTAACTTCTTCAAAGTTTAATCCATTCTCGCCTGACATCACAGACACTTCGATCAAATATCAGTGTTATCGTTTAGCCAGCAGTTGTAGCCGCAGACTCGGCAAGCTCTTCCAGGAGCTCCTTCTGTTCCATTGATGAGCAAGCCTGTAAGATGCAAGATTTTGCATTACAATTTTGACCATATTCCTGTATGGAACCCTATTCGATATTTTTCTAGTTCAATATCGAGATAGATATGTGTTCATGCAAAATATTGGGAAGAGAGAGAGAGAGAGAGAGAGAGAGAGAGGCAATGAAAGCAGAAATACAGGTATAAATAGTACCTGAACTGCATTCTCAATATCACCTTCAAGAAAAGATGTAAGCTCATAGTTCGTCTTTAGCCGGTGGTCGGTAACCCTATTGTCCTGATAAAAGGTAGCAACATGATATTTGTCAGACTCCACAAGTGACTTGCAGTCAACCATAAGCCATTAGCGCTACTAACAAAGGTAACATAAGCAACCAGTAGTTCCATAAACAAAATATATATTCAGCATATCTAATCTCTTAGAAATTGTGTAAATTTTGTCTAAATATTCTTATATGGTTTTTATAAGCGGGAGAATAATCATGTAAATAAGAGCAACTTAGAAGAAGCAAGGGACCTTATAATTGTAGGTTCGAATCTTTTCAGCACGGGCACCAGTACCAACCTGCATATCAAGACATATGTGACAAAAACATAGGCTTTTAAAATCCAGACGCAAATGTTTAATACCAAAAGGAAACAATCACAGAAGAGGAAATTCCATTTAGAAGAAAGCAAATACACAACCGGAATCAGCATATTTTCTTGCCAATCTGTCACTACAAGTATACTGACATTAGGAGAGAATATGAAACAAACAAGGCGGTAAAACAACGACCTGAAAAGGATGTCACTTCATCATATAAGTGAGCAACTGAGCATGATACATGCAAGACTTGCAAAAGGTTCTCATAGATTCACTTAGCAATTATTGTAATGCTTAGTTAATGTTGTGTGTTAGCTGCTGTTAACAACTCAAGTTTAATGATGATGATGATGATCATCCCAAATTACCAGACTGCCATTGGACACACCTAGAGAGTTATTAATTTGTACTTAAATTGGAGGTATGGGAGTGGAATGGGGGGTGCTTGAAGCTGAACATGAAAAGTCATTGTCATTAAACCCCATGAAACTGCCACTCGTGTAACAAGCATAGCAATGTTATACCTGTGATTTTCGTTGATTCCTTATCAACTCTTGCTGCTCCCTTACTTTTATTTCATACCTGTAAGGATGACAGAGATCATAAGGAATGAACCAAATGGGAAGATATAAGCTATTTTTGAGAAAATATGAAAGCAAGGATACTGATTACTTATCTCAGATAATAATTTCTAATTACTGATTAAAATAAAAAGCAGTATATGGTTAAGTTGTGCCTCACAGTTTTGCTCGTAGCAGCTGCAAAGCACGATTCTTGTTCTGAAGTTGGGTCCTTTCTTCGGTACAGAATATACGGATCCCAGTTGGCTTGTGGAAGAGATCAACTGCTGTCTCCACCTTGTTGACATTCTGGCCTGCACAATAATGAAGCATAAAGAACCTCTCGAAAAAAAAGGAGGAAAGGGAAATGACACATGAAGAACTGCCGATTCATTTGATCATAGTTCAATATACCTCCAGCACCACCAGATCTTGTAGTTGTGAGTTCAATGTCTTTTGGATCAATTTCCACCTCAACTTCATCGGCCTATGCCAAAATTCATGTCAATCACAATTGAACTCAAATGAAAAAAATAAAAAGGAGCTTAAATCAGATATGTTGAATGCAGCACATAAAATGCAATCTAATGTTTTGTTAAACAAATGCTTATAATAAGCACTTAAAAGGCTAAAATAATTGATACTAATTCCTAGGCTCAAAACACAATTGAAAATTGAGATGACATCTTTCACACCCAAGATGTCTCAAGTCAAATATGATTCAGGTCTGTAATGTAATCTACCTCAGGCATGATGGCTACAGTTGCTGTAGAAGTGTGCACACGGCCCTGTGTTTCTGTTTGAGGAACACGCTGGACCCTATGAACACCTGATTCATATTTCAATTTGCTGTAGACACGACTCCCCTTGACCTCTATCACGCAAGTTTTGAATCCTCCTTTTTCAGCCTTAAAAGTTCCACAAATTTGACAGTCATATCAAAAACCATAGCATGAATATTTTGCTGCTCTTGAAAAAAAAGAAAGAACGATGCTAGAAATACTTGTACACAATTTTAACTAAAACTTCCAGGCAATATGTACTAAAAGTCATTAACTATCAGTTATGGTTGGTTGGGTAGAATGAGTATGGCACCCCACATATTTTAGCAAAATTCTAAAAGAAGGTACAAATAATATTACTGCAGTAAGATATACCTCAGAGCATGAAATTAGGGCAGTTTTCCAAGAGTTCCGCTCACTGTACTTTTGATACATTCTGACCTGGATGTTTTTAAAAAAGCAAGGTAAGCTCTAGTTAACATATAGCAGAAAAAAATATAGGTCAAAACAAGAATCAAAATGTATCATTAGCCTAGTTCCATTAAGCTGGTGACAACGAAAATAAGTAGAAGTAGAAATTAAACGGTTTCCTGATTCGATCCCAGCATTATTTAAAAAATATTTCTGTTCTACTTCTATGTCATCAAGATAATAGCTTCTTTTAGGTCACATTAAAATATTCAATGATAAAAAATGATTATAATCCATAAATCTAAAAGGATAAAAGAAACATGTACCTACAAGATCACCGGCCCATATTCCAGCCTCATCGCCTCCAGTACCTGCCCTCACTGGAATATAGACAAGCATAGTTCATTAAAGTGGGACTGTGAAGGAAAATTTCACTAGATGATGCATCTAAAACTATAGTCTATATCACATGGAAAGTACAACTTGTATGAAGACCAATGCTAAGTATATAGAAATATCCAACCAAGAGGAATGATATCTAACATGGATTATAGCTCAAACTGCAGCACAATGCAAATTATAGCAAAGTACAGCCTGAATCCTTCCGTCGATGAATTATCTTCTCGACAAGATTAGGAAAGGTGATATAATTACCTTCAAGCATTATATTTCTTGCATCAAGAGGATCACTTGGAATCAGCAGCACCTGTTGACATAGAAGCAATATAGTAGTTTGAGAGATCATAAGCAATAATTGGACATATTCCACTATAAGGCTCAATATTGATTAATGTTCATCAAAGAACAATGTTCTATAAAATATGCAGTCAGTATCAAGCTCATTCCAAATTGTCGGAACATTTTAAATGGAAGTCTTTTGTAGCACAAAGAAAAGTGATCATAACTTCTATCTCGCACTTGACTAAGTAGACAATAGACACAAGTTATTCACTAAGACAGTAGCTCCTAGATATGGGGAAAAAAAATTATAATGGCAGTAAGATATGACGTGAGATGTTGAGTGAAAACCTTAATCTTCTCCTCAAGCTCTTTTAGTTGACCAGATAAAGAGCTGATTTCGGATGCTATCATCTCAGCCATATCTTCATCTGTTCCATCCTCTTCCGATAAAGCTGGAAAAAGTTATTGCAAAAGTATGAAAAAAGATTGACTAGCTTTTATCTTATGGTAAAAACAACTTCAAAACAGTCTTATAGAAAAAACATTTTAAAAAAGCTCGTCAAAATTACCTTTGGCCTCCTCTAATTGCTTCTCACAATCCTTAAATCTCCTGAAAGTTGATACAACCTATCCAGCAAGAAAATAGAACATGAAATTCATTTCAATGGAAACTTTATTAGCAAAGAAAGAGATTAAGTACTGTAAACAGCAAGAGAAAGCAAGACGAAATCCACTACCTCATCAAGTTCTGAAACAGACTGCGCCAGTTTTTGGTATTCAGTGGGATTGGAGACAACATCTGGATCAGCAAGCCTAACCTACAGTGTCATTGTTTGAAGAAACAGAAAATTAAATAATTGAATTTAGAGACTAATAATGGCATAGAGAAACAGTTGATGCCGAAAACGACAAATTGCCTAAAGTGAAAGTGGCAGTTAGGCTATAAAAGGCAGTAAAAGATAAACCTTCTAGTTTAGCCAACAATGACTGAACAATTTTTCATTTAGGAAAATGCATGTTTTGGCCAACTTGGATTTCACTTTCTTGGGAAAGTGTGTCTCTCTACTACTGGATGAACCTAGCTGACTAACTTTCTCATACCAAATTTTATTCTCTGCAGAGCAAGCCTACAGAAACCATGCCTAATTTTGATTCCCAAAACTAAAGAATCATCAGGTCGACCAATTTGACCAACACACAACTAAAACCCTCCCATTTCCCAAATAATCGAAACTTATTTAACAAGACAAAATAAGAGAAATTAAGAACTCTACCGATAATTCCTTCCACGTCTTCTCCGCAGATTCCAGTTTCGTTATCAGATACGGCTCCTACAAAAAAAATCAATCAAAAAGAGAAAAATGAAACCAATAAAAGTTTATCTTTAGCTGAGTTCTTCTTTCCTCGATTTAAACGCACCGCCATACAAACGATTCTTGAAGCTCTGAGAGTAGGCCAAGGCCTGGCTAGCCTCAAACATCTCGACTGAGTAGTAAAACGGCGTCGAAGTAGGAAGTGATTGAAAGTAGTAGTGAATATTTGAACTGTAGAGCTCATTGCAACGCAGTTCATGGGTGCTAATGTATCTTTTAGAGATAAATCCGATGTTTGAATAACTATGGCTGTGGCGGAAGAGAAGGAGAGAGATTGAAGGGTGTGTAACCCTGGGGATAAGGAATAGACACTGTCAATTTAGTGGAAACTCATCCAAACCCCAATTGATAACGTTCCGTATCTTAACTAATTAACAAATTCTTCTTGCAATTTTTTGGGTAAACTATAAAAATAATTCCCAAACTTTTAGATATATTGCATTTTGATCACTAAACTTTTGAAACTTGCACCACGGTCATCAAATTTTTAGTTCGTTTGCATTACATCCCTCTCGTTATCGGCCGTTACCATAGAATGACGTGGCACGTTAGTATAGCGTTTGGGGCTGAATAAAAGCTCATTTAATTCATATCAGCAGCCAACCCCAATTTTCTCCCCATATTTAAAAACCTAACCCCTAAAAATCAAAATTTCTTTTCTTCCCTTTGTTTGATTTGATCATCAATTGCTAGCAATTGATACACCACCAACTGCAATCCTAACATGTTTTTGTGGAATGTCAGCTAGCTTACGCACAGCTTGGACAAATAGCCTTCAAATGACTGTAGAAGGCAGGTTCCATAAGTTCATTAGTTGTGGAAGGATCAGCTTCACAATGAGATGATGGCCTATAAGTAACATATGTAAGGTGCGAAATGCCACTGCAGTCTCTGCACTCCAATGAGGTAACCATTTGAAAGCTGAAACAGATATTAAACCATTTTGAAATAGCTCCACCACTGACTTCCCATCCCCAAGAACCATATCTGAACCACTTTGAGCTTATGCATCGATACAAATGGAACAAAAAGCAAGAAAATCAAGCTTGATTGCTTTCAATGAAAGTGGATCAAACAAACGAGGTTAAAACATGAAACCCATCTTTATAATTGAATTCTTCTTCTCCATATCTCCATTCACCGTAAATCTATTAAAAACCCCATCAACCAATGCACTGACAGCAAGCGAAACACCAAATACTGATGCATTTCCAATGAAACAAACAAAAGCCTTCTCATAATCTCTTTCTCCTTCTCATTAAACACCTCCGAAAACCGCGAGTACATAATCAAAACAACATGACATAATACAGGATGAAAGGAGTTAATCAAACCGAAAAACTGAACTTTCAGCATAGATGGCTGCAAATCCAAAGCTACTGCTAGCGGTATTACCATTCGCATAAAAATCATCATCCCACAAGGAGTTAAAACCCGTGGCCATCCAGTAAAAACGCCATTGCTCTTCTCAATTCCTTATAATTCAACCCAAATCCAACCCCTGACCCTTCCTTTTCCGGTCCTAAAATCCATTGCGGAAATTTAGTGTATCAATTGCTAGCAATTGATGATCAAATCAAAGGGAAGAAAAGAAAATTTTGATTTTTAGGGTTAAATTTTTTAAATCTGAGGAGAAAATTGGGGTTGGGTGCTGATATTAATTAAATGATCTTTTATTCAGCCCAAAACAGTATACTAACGTGCCACGTCATTCTCGACTATCGGCAGGTAACAGCCGGTAATGACAGTAATCGTAATGCAAATTAACTAAAAGTTCGATGATTATGGACAAGTTTCAAAAGTTTGGTGACCAAAATGTAAACATCCTAAAAACTCGGAGACTATTAGATAGTTTATACCAAATTTTTTTATAGGATCAAGTACAAATTGATCACCTTTTATTTTATTTTTTCACCTTTCGTTGTCAATTAAAAAACTATATTTCAATCGCTTACTATATTAATTTATTATATTTTAATTATTAATCTCAAACACAACGAATACAATGAGAAACGCAAATCATGTCAACCATTACCAATGGAACGCAAATCATGTCAACCATTACCAAAGGGGAAGTCTCACGTAGCTTAATTTACGGTTAAAAAAATATGTTTTATTATTTTTTTAATATTTTCGATAAAAATTTACTTATAAAATTATTATTTCTACCAGAAATATTATTATTGGGTGTTTTATTGGATTTATTAACATATCCTGTAAAGCACTACATAAAACGTTAATTTTTTTACCGAAAATGTTAATATTGGACACTTTACCGGAAATGTTAAAAAATAATATTTTAGGTAAAATATAATATTTTAAGTAATTTTTTACCGAAAATATTAAAAAAATAATAACATTTATGATAACGCATTTTCTTAGCCATATATTAAGACTATCGTACAGTAGAACTTCTCTAAATGAATATTGTGAAGAGAATTTATATAGTAACCGCAATGACATTCATTATGTCTGCAATCGCGATAAACGCGACACGACTGTGAACGCTATTTAAATCCTTGGTCGAGGCTATTATCCATTCTTCCCGGCTGATACAGATCGGCGAAGGCTAACAGAGACGAAATTAAACAAAGACGAACCATTCTTTTATTTATATCTGCTCCTTGCCAACACTTACATTTTTAAAGTTTAGCTCGGAAGTAGAAAATTACTGTGACTAGTACCAACTTGAGTAGAGAAAACAACTTTTGAGGTTTCACAGCCATATAGCGCCTGCCCTGATGAGCAATGGGACAAGTTGGTTCCTCACTTGGAGGGACATGACCTGGTTAGGACCCCCAATGAGCTGCTGCCCTATGAACACAACCGGTACACTGACCTTGCACCCCATCTGCTGCAGTGCTCTCTCAATCTGTCCCCCATTCTCAACTTCGTCAAGCTCGTAAACCGTAGGGTTAGCCCCAAAGCCACTTATCAGAGTCTTGATGGTGTGGCTCATGCAACATGTGGTCCGGCTAAAGATCACCACCGGCCTGTCGGCAACCATCCTTGCAATCACTTCCATTGTTATCTACCAGGGAAGAGTATTGGAAATGGAAGCTCAAAGGACTTTGTTGGGAGACTTCCGAAGTCTTAAACTGCTTAGCCCTGATGAGGAACCTAATCACCCTGGAGACCCCATTTATACTGTCCATGCACAGGCATAAAAAAGGAATATAATAATCCAATTAGTCATAACAGTATGCAAATACATAACATGTGGCAATAAATAGATTTAAAATGACTTCAGTATCCTTAAAATACCCAGCACTCAACAATACTCAACAGAAAAAATGCAATTGAAGTGTAGGATGCAAATTTAGAACTTTCTTAAAAGCAAAAATATCTTGTTGATATTTGATACCCTACAAGATTCATCACATGGCCTGCTAATTACTTACTTTTCTTAAAGTCATTCGACCTTCCTTGAGAAGATAGTCAAGGACCTACATGTTTCAAGAATGGAGAATTTTTCCTATTTGGTTTCATCTCGTCATCTATCTGATGTGAGCTAATCATCATCATCTCTGCATAGATTTTGGCATTATGTATTAAGTTAGAATATATTCACATTTCCAAACCACGTTTTTAAAAGAATTTGCCATCATCTCTCACATTTTTCTCATTTACCAAATCATGTGCCAAAATAATATCGCATCAACAGTTCAATCAAAACCAAGTTTCAAAGTATAGTTTAGATCCAAAATTTGCTTGCTCCCTCAAAACAACAAATTGTAGTAAACATGCACATGGAAAGTAACATTCCGCAGTATTACATTATACCTATCTGATCAAATTTGGGATGGCAGAATTATAGTGCTTCCCAAGCCCAAAGGCATGCTTTTGGTATGACAACCTGAGATTCCCCTCAGATGAAGACCCTCCATCAGATTTGTTCTTCTTTCCCGTCTCCACATCAGGAAAGGATCCCGAAAATATCATGATGTGTTTTCTCAGGCAGTGAGTTAAAGCTCCAGCTCTAACTGCCCTCCCCATGCAGCAGTAGACTCCACCTCCTTACAGTAGTTCTCGAATCTCTCTTCTAGTTAATCATCAGAATCTCCATCTACCGTATTCTCTGACAGGAAAAAAGGAAGAAAATTGAATGTGTGCTTCCTCATATAATAAGTCGCCATTTCTCGTAGCTCCTGATATGTATAAGGAGAAAAACCTCCAGACAGAAGGGCCAGCTGATCTTCAACGGCTCGGTAGAGGCAGTGTCCGTCCGGCTTTATTTTATTGATTGAGAATCCCAGAGGCTTGAGTTTTCTCTCCAATTTCTCATCTTCAATCATTCTATCACTGACAATGTTGCTCTGCTCATCTTGAATCCGTTGTTCTCTAGCGGCCTCTTGCTGAGCTCTTTTCTCTCTTCTCTTGGCACATTTGCTAGGCTTTGGATGATCCTGCTGAGGAGTTAGACACCCCAGCTATTGCCTTCACTAAATTGTCGATATTGCTTTTATCATTTCCATTACTGTATCCTAGTGAAGAAAGCTCCTGAGCTTGTTTTTCCTTGAGCTTAGCAGAGAGCTGAGAGATCTCTTCCTCCACCTGCTTCTTTTTAGCTTTCTGTTCAGCCTTGCTACCCTTTGCTGCAGCCTTTTTCAGGTTAATTCCCTTGTTTTGTAGCTCCGATATCTCTTTTCGGCATAATAGTAGAAAAAACAAGTCTCATAAAGGGAAAATATATATTATTTAAGTTGATAAAGAAAAGAAACCCCAACTGAACTTGCAAGGAGCTAAACTCTGGCAAGTAAAATGCAGTTTTTTAAGGGTTTAAGAATCAATTTGTTAAATCAGGGCATATTAATATTTACATATGAGCCTTATTTCATAATAGAACCTAACCTTATTAAACCATCTTTTGTGCTAGGAAAAAAAGCAAGATTAAATGTGAAAGCAAGAAACACATCAGTCAACTACCCGAAACCATGAATAAAGCTTACAGGTATGTTAAGAACTGTATATTAAATATCATCGTAATACCTATGCCTAGAAAGCATCTCATCGCGGGTTTCCTGCTTTTGAGATATGCAGGGCAGACTTTCTTCACAATCTACACCTTGAACATCTGCCATCTGAGAACACCTAAAATCACGGTCAACGATAATACAGAGGAAATGGTAATGTTGAACTTGGGACTAAGTATGCAGTTAATATTCAACAAGCAAACCAAATCTATGCTAGTCTAAGCCACAAGGATGCAGCTAAACAGGAGAAATATCCATCTTTAAACTCGGCATTCTGAATGAACATATGGTCAATTTTGCAAACGAAATAGATTATCCATGTATGGTCGAGAACCGACACGTCGAGCCAACATAAACTTTCTAGGAACTAAAAATATAACTCTTTCATTAAATCAAGTTCAAAAACATTGCTTAGACATGTAACTTTCTTTTTTTGGAACTCTAGATCCATGCATTAGCTAAAACAATTCCAATTCATTAAACGTAGTTTCCAATGTGAGTTATGTAATCAATTAAACAGCACCCTCAATTCAAATTCCCATCGGAAAACTAAGGAAGAACAAAAAGAACTCACAATTACTCCTTTCAAAACATGAATTACACTGAAATCAAAGAACATCCGATAAAAGAAATTCCACCTCGAATCTATACAAGTTGAAACAAATCCTAGCAACAATGGATGATCAAAAACTCAAAAGGTGAACATTAATATTAATAAATTGACAAAAGCGTGATTTAAAATTGGAGCTTAGTTCTACAAAAAGGAAAAGATAAGCAAAGCAACTATAACAAGTAATTGGCATTCCTTCGGTAATTATCTTTTTGTATCCTTCAAATTTTCTAGTACAAACTAACATCAAACGGAATATAGTGACAGAGAGCAAACCTATGGGAAGAAGCACGAAATTAGCTTAAGTTAGCTAGGATTTACTCGCGTTACAACCTATAAATCTTGAAAGAAAACAAGAAAGCCCAATTTCTGCAAGAAGCCATAAGTGGTCTCTCTACTTTTGAAAAAAATTAAAATGTGACCCTCGTATCTTTTCCCCTCAATGTGGCCCTCTAACTCAGAAAATAAATCTAATGTGGTCATTTGATCAATATTTTTTTTGTCGTTGACCATTACGGTATTGATGTGACAATTCACAGTGTTAAAGTGACAATCTAGGGTGGCAGATTAACGTGGCTAATGATAGAACAAATTAAACAGATGGACTATCACGTCAACACTACAATAGTCAATGATGAAAAACGTTGGTCAAAGTGCATTAAGTTTGTTTTCTAAGTTAGAGGATCACATTGAGAGAAAAAATAATACGTGAAAATCTTATGGCATTAAGCTTATGTTATTTATGCAAACTTCGGTGTGGGAATTCGCTTATTGGGCTCATATGGCAATATATTGAGCTAAATGTCTAATAGTAAATTAATTAGACTGGCTCTTATGGAAATTGTTGGCAGAGAAGTAGCTGTTTTTATCAAAGAACTTTTATTAAAGCAAGACAAATAGCATTACAATTAAAGTAGATCTAGCCCAAGATAAAATAGGCCAACAAAACCCAACCACACTCTACAACCAAAAATAAATATGCCTGAAGATATTCCAAAAATAGTATTGATAAAAAAATCTATGGTCATATAGGAAAAATTAATAGTAATCCAACTATAAAACAAAAGAAACAAGGAGATAAAGAAAAATATGGTATGCAACAAGATAATTCAACATTCCAGTGATATATAGTAATGTAACTTTTCGATAATCTTATTCTCAAATATAATCTTATAGTTCGTAGATCAAATGAACCCTTAAAAAAAATCAGTAATGATAAAAAAAAGTCACGATCACTGTATATTAGTCATAATATATTAGGTAATTTTGTAAATTTACAACAAATTAGGGGATTTACAGAAAACTGAAATTGAATTTAAGAAGGGGAAAAAAGTCTGAAGTGAAGTTTTGAAAGTCTTTACTATCATTGAGACTAGCGTTCAATATAATTGAGAGTTGGCTTGCAATCAGATAGGTGAAAAAAATAGAAAAGAAGAGATGAGATGAGAAAAGTGAAAGAAAAAAAAAGTAAATTGGAATTTTTTTTTTATATAATTCTCAAATTAGATCGTTTTGTGTCACTCAAAATGTTGTCAGTTTGGACATTCGAACCATATTTATGTTTGGGGTTCGAAACTTTTTGAATAGTTATATTTTAGCTCTTTTGCATTTTCATTCAATACAATTTGATTCCTATTTCATCCGATTACATACTATTTGACCCATTTATTTTCTCTTTCTTACAACTAAGTTCTCCATTATATTTATATTTATTTATTTTTTTCATTTGCAGAGGCCGACTGTTAGGGGTGCACACTGAGTAACCGTTTAGGACCCCCATCTTTTATAGGGTCACTAATATTTTTATTATGTTTTTTATTTTTATAATTGAGTATTTTAATTTTTTTAATTTTAATTTTAATTTTATCTTTATAATTAAAGCTCCTAATTTTCGTTTTCATCTTTATAATTGAGACCTTTAATTTTTTAATCCAACTTTTTTACATTTATAATTGATGACCTTATTTTTCAATCCCAGTTTGTACATTTATAATTGAGCTCCTAATTTTTTTCAATCTCACTTCCTACCTTTGAGACCCCTAATATTTTAATATCAATTTTTACTTTTATAATTAAGGCTCCTAATTTTTTCAATCCGTTTATTACTGATATAATTTAGGCCCCTAAGTTTTTCAATCTCACTTTTTGCCTTTAAAATTAAGCCCCTTATTTTTTTTTATCTCATTTTTACCTTTATGATTGAGGTCTCTAATTTTTTTCAATCGTACTTTTTATAATTTAAGTCCCTAATTTAATCATTTTCACGGTTTATTAATGTAATATTAAATTAATTGTTTAAAGTAATATAATATATTTTCGTTTTATAGGAGTCTATATTTTAATTTCATTCAGGCCCCAAAAAATGTCTGAGACTACTCTATCCATTTGCATATTAATTTTGATATATGTTCCTAAATATATAAACATTTCTAATAAAAATAAGTTTTACTTTTTTTTTTAAGATTCAAGGTAATATTTTTTTAAAAACGATTAACGGGATAGTCTTCAAAATAATCGAAGCATGATCATTTTAGTTATTCATAATAAATAATATTTTTCTTAAAATCAAGTGAATCACAGTCTTTAATTTAGAAAAAAAATCAAGAATTTTTTTTATTTTCAAATAAATCCAATTCATTAATAACTTTTGACATTCATACTTTAATTTTAATAGATCATAATTTAAACATAAATTTAAATTCATAATTCATCTCTTAATATAAGATTTTATGTCCGTCCCACATAACACTAGGGTCGAAACTCGAATAACATAAAGTATGATGCAGAAGAAAGAAGAAAATGCAGCAACTGGCTTGTCGATGGAGATTCGGATGGCAACGAGAGGGCCAAGTAAATCGCACCTTTTCATTTGGTTCTCTTCTGCCTTTTTACACCAACTGTTGCTCTAGTGTCCTGCCCTTTGCATTCTCTGCAAAGACAATCCTATTCATGCATCCAATTTATAGGCATGGATAAGCCCCAATATATTCCTCTCCCGTTGACAACGCAAACCTATCCTAAATCCAGAACTATTCCTCTCTCACTTCTTTTATCTAAATCAGTGAACAATCTCAATGCATTTTAATTATGGGTGCCGCATCTTCATGCTGTTTATAAAATCAGTGTCTCAAGCTCAAAGAAAGTGGATTCTATTCCAAGTTATTTGACATGAAGTTTTATTTTTAATATTTGATATTATTAAAGTGTGATTATTCCAGATAAACTTATTGATTATATTCCCAGCACTAGTTTACTTGTACGGACTCATATTGATTTCAACTTGCTCATCACTCTCAAACAAATCATGGGAGGGTTTTTCTTATCCAAACAAATATGTCAAGGAACTTCCTTCTTTTTATCCTTTTGATTTTTTTTTTTTTTTTGCATTAAACAAATGAAATCCAATTCTCTCCCTTGGCCTTATAAATAAGAGTATGTGAAATCTCAAAGTCCATGAGAGCTAAGCCTTAACACATAAACTTTTCCTAGTTCCTAAACCATTCTCTTTCAGGCTTTAATTCTGCTTCAACTTTCTTCTGCCGCTTCGAGCTGCATTGTTATGGATAGAGTACGAGAACTGGCATCGAAGAAGGCCGCCGTGATCTTCACGAAGAGCTCGTGTTGCATGTGCTATAGTATCAAGACCCTTTTTTATGAGCTCGGTGCTAGCCCTGCGATTCATGAGCTCGACAAAGATTCTTATGGGAGAGAAATGGAGAGGGCTCTTCGAGTGTTAGGGTGCGACCCCTCGGTCCCGGCTGTGTTCATTGGCGGGAGGTTCGTCGGCTCGTCGAAAGATGTCATATCCCTTCATGTTGATGGATCACTGAAACAAATGCTCATAGATGCAAAGGCCATCTGGTTCTGACAATGATATCGAATAACTTTGCCTACTAAAAAATTGGCAAACTTAGTACTCTACTGCTACAATAATAAACCTAATACCTTGTTGGAAGAGAAAAAAAAAGTTGTATTAGGGGCTTTGCTTTTTCTAGAGTTCCTTGAATACATTTTGCTTGGAAAAATGACACCTTTGAAAATACCTAAACATTAATGCATATATACCTGTTATCTTAAATGTTTATTGGTGCTTTCTTCCATTTCCATGGCATACAAAAACACATCACGAAAATTGCAGACTAATGAAATGATGTGGCATTTCACTTTCCGGGATTCTCTCCTATCAAAAACAGACATAATTGCATGACCGGCCGTAATCAACCTTTGGATCAGATGGTGTTTAAAAATTGTCTATTGAAGAATAAAGTTTTTGTAGCCACGATGTTTATGACTGTACGTTATTCAGGTGATCGAAAATGTCGTTCCTATCGAAAACTTGTCGGCTTACATAAAGTCAATCCCGTGTCATGAGCTGATTGTTGCAGAAGCGGCATTGAGCTTACGAATTCTCTATGATATTGCAGATTGTTTCAGTGCTTTAAATTCTTTTTATGGTGCTGATTAAATTTTGAAGAGGAATCAAATGGCTGGTTCGTTTGCAAGTTTTGTTGATGATTTTATAATTCATACCTACTGATGTCTGTATGGGCTTATCTGAGAGAGAGAAAGGTGATGATGGAACTTTTTATTCCTCCCCATCCACAACTTAAAATGCCAAGAATGGTGTTTCTTTTAGATGCTTGGAAGTTCCTAGATGCATGGATAGTCGTCCACATGCATAAATATTTATGTGGTTTAGGGATATGCATGAACATATGATAGCTTAAATTACTCGTGATTTTACAAATGTGTACCTTTCCTTTGTCTATCTCATGCATAAGATGGCAAGAAGATAGAGAATCTGTCCCACTCTCGACGCCATTGAGTACTTGTGGTCTTTCGCCATTCACAGGCTCACTTGCACATGTTAAAGCACTACCAAAAAAGAGAAGCAGCAGCTGTACGCATGAAGTGAAGTGAGCATATCTGTGTGCTCACGTGTAGGAAGAATCATACAAGTTGGTCGGCGCAATAGAATGAATTACAGCCTCATGATGTTCTATTGTTGCAAACTGACAAGCTAAGACACCATTTGATCCTTATTTTAACTATCTTGTTTCAAAATTGTTGATTATATAAGATGGCTATATGCTTTACAGTTCTCACTTATGATATGGTCTAGTTCATGGGCTATTAGAAGTAGAAGCCGCTCTGGTGAGCAGAAAATGATTGTGGTCAGTTCGATAATGATCAAGTGACATTGGTTCTATTACTTCGATGGTTTTAGTATTTAGCAGAAAATTTGTTTGCCAACTTGTTGAAACCATGGAAACACAGTAGTCCCCATCTCGTAAAGTAACTTTATTGTTATTAATTAGCATCTAGGTAAAGGCATGTTCTTTTGAACGTTCTTCAAACTATGGAGTCTTCTACTATATGTTGTCCCTATAAATACTCTCTACCATGGGACTTGAGTTCTAGCAACCTCAAGCTTTGAACCCTTTCTCCCTTTTCCCACTTCACCTTCTCAACGCAATCGACACTAAAGAACTTTGCACGTATTAAGTGGACATTGCCGGTCCGGACTTTAACATGGACAAGGTGACGAGATTGGCCTTAGAGAAGGGGGTATTGCTATTCAGCAAGAGCTCATGTTGCCTGTGTTATGCAGTCACTGTTCTGTTTCAAGAGCTTGGGGTAACCCCAACGATTTACGAGACCGACCAAGACACTGAAGGAAGGGAAATCGAGAAAGCACTTATGAGGTCGGGGTGTAACGTGCCAGTTCCGGCCATCTTCATCGGTTGAAGTCTCATAGGCTCGATGAATGAAGTCATGTCCCTGCATCTAAGTGGAGGACTAGTACCTTTGCTGAAGCCTTATCAGACTGTTAAATTAAGTAATTGACAATCAATAACATTTGCTCAAGTCAGCAGTCTCTAGTAAGGTGCATGTGCACTATAGCGATGGATTAGCTCTCCAGCAATAGAATGTAATCTGTTCCTATTTCTTTAATAAAGTTAAATGGCATATACATTTCTTGTTTTGAGCTTTGCTTTCAATATAATCCCACTGATTACTGTATGTTGTTCAGATGCTTCACTTTCTACAATTATTTTATGCATAGTTCAGTACTTCAGTATATATACATATTTATAATATATATATAAATATGAACATGTAACAAATACAATACTCATAATATTAAATTGCAATCGCATCCTAACGATTTTTAAAATCATCATGGCACCACAGCTATATTTATAATTTAAAAACATAATGACTTTTAAGAAACAAATCACCACATAACGCCCACAACTGCATACATAACTGTAATTAAACAAATATTTTTAAGAAAATGAAGAGTAGGAGCATACTCCACATGGAAAAGAAAAGGTTAAAAAGGGAAATTCTGAACTTTATCCCTTGTTTGCTACCATTGGTTCTTCTTTTACTTTATCTTAGATAAAGGAAGGTATTACATTCCTTGCTGTTTGAAATGGCCATAAACATTGTTTTTATTATTGCAATATTCTATCGATATAGAAGACAAAGTAAAATAAAAAAGAAAGCAATAAAATAATGCTTTGTGTAGATTCCTCCATTGTTAATTTGGAGATAAGCATATGGATTCTACTGAAAGTAGGACAAAAAACAGAGTCAATGGAACGTGGAGTCCTACAATGGAAATCAAACAATATTACCAACCCATCAACTTAGCTTTACAATAATCAGTCTTGTCAGTCGTAATCATGCTCTATGACTGTTCAACTGGTTTTTATTCTCTTTTATCATCAATAACAGACTATGGACCGCTTGACTACTCTTTATTATAGTTATGTACTTGTACATCTAAATTTACCTAAAATTTTATGTTCAAAATAAATTTATAAAATTTAAAAAAGCAAAAGCAAATTATAAATAAAAATATGAAAAATTAAAATATATAAAAAATTTAAATTTTAAATGACCACCACCTGTCTATTCATCTTTATATATATCCAACACTTATAGACCAGCTAGTTTGGTGGGTTTCGGAAAAGAATGAAATAAAGAAAAGAAAAGAAAAAAAGTAGAAGAAAGGAAATAGTTTTTTAACTTCCAAAGTAAGAACGAAAACTTCTCTATCTTTTGTTTTCTTCGATCTAACGCCTGCTACACAGTGGCCAGACAGAAAGTTTTTGCTTCATTCGGCTCTCTCTCTTAGGTCATCTCTACTTTAGATATGATTGCTTCGGCCCATCGTCATTTTGTAGCTGCATTATAACGATAGCTAAAGTACACACTATAACTGTGTTATATATATATATATATATATATATATATTTGTAATTTTTCTGATTTTTTGATATTTTTTAGATGATATGTAGAGATAATGTTGTAAATAATAGTGGAGATGAAATACTGTTTTATCTTTAAAGTAGAGAGAAATGTTGTATAGTAGAGATGAGGGCTGGAGATACCTTACACACACTGATTCCTTCCGTCAATGGCTTGGTTAGGTATTTTCTCTATTTCCTCTCTCGATTATTTTTTTTTCTTTGCTGTTCGATCTTTTACTATTTTCTGGTATTTTTCCTTTATTGTTTTGGTTGGCGAGAAAAATAGATTAAAAAGAGAACGAAAAGAATTGGAGAAAGAAACGATGTTTGTTTTGATTCGCTTTATGAACTGATGAATCGGAAAATGAAAGAAAAGAGTAACCGGAAATCTGAAATCTTAGGTTTTTTATTACATTTCTTTTCTGATATTTTCCCTGTTGGTTAATTAGGTATTTAATAGCGATATTGTTGTTTGCTTTTAAATTTCTTCTCTGCTCAGAATGAAATATCGAGATCTTAAACAATGTTATTACTAATTATGGTTATTTCTGGTCTCTTTATACGTCTGGTTCTTGAATTTGAGTTCTACATCTTGTTTAAGGAACTCTGGTTGAGAGCTACTAACAAGGAACTTTACCAGTTACCAGTCAGATCATATGAAGTGCTCACTCTCTTGGCGAGGTTCTCAGGCGGTTGATTTGCATGCACTTTTACCAAACAAATTCCATAGAGGATTTAAGGTTGGTTTGATGCAATGCAATTCTTATTGGAGTTCGTGTTTATCTACATGAGTATGGAGAACAGTAGTAAAAGAAGATTATAATAAGTTGGGCGTTTTATGCTTTCTAGCTGATATGATTGACAATGTACTAATACTTTGTGCGCCTGCCTAATTTGACTAGGATAGGCAATTAAGTTGATTATGCAAGATTGCAAGTATAACTGTTCAGCAATGTTTATGTTTTAGATTTGAAACTCATACATGCTGGTAAAGTTCTGGAAAACAACAAAACGCTCGCTGATTCCAGGATAACAATTGGCGACATTCCTGTTGGTTTTATTATAATGCCCGTGGTAGTGCAGCCAGCTACAGGAAATAATATGAAAGGTTCGTCAAGTTCTCTTCCTAGAAAAATACATGTTTGAAAGGATTTATTTCATGAAATCTTCTAGGTATTTTAGTTTACTTAGAATTAAGGTGCCTTTATTAGTTTGTTTTCTTCATCACATGCAAGAGTCGCATGTAGATCCTTGCTGAATTCATGAGATATAGATCTGTGTACGAATCCCCCAACCTGATTCCTGCTGCATATTTCTCAGGAAAAAGAAATAAAAATAGCGGAAACAAAGTAGTTGTGAGGCTGGTAGAGAAGCTAGGAATAGAACAGGACAAACATTTTCGTTTGTTTCCTGCTTCAGTGACAAGGCCCCTAAGCCTCACTTTGCCTTTTTCTATTTCGCTATCCTTGTCTATATTGTCATTCATTTTACCTAAACAAAGATGGGGGTTTAAAGGATTCTTGTTTTGAATTAATTTTATGAAAAATGCAGAAGATGCATTAATTGATCTTTAACTTTTAGTTGTGTTCATGGTATGATGCTTTGAAAGAGATCTTACTTTTTCACATTTATACTCGATTAGTTTTTGCTTTTGAGATGGGTGTTCATCTGTATATGGGGGTATGATGCTCAAGTTACATTAATGTTCCTTCCATTACCATCCTCTTATCTGGAATGAACATGACACTTAAATATACAAATATATGTTTAGTTTTATATATATACACACTCATGTCACATTTTGTAAAGATCTATTGTACAAATGAATAAAATGTATTTCAAAGACCCGACCCTTTCGTGAATTGTTTGAGGAAAAGTTTGTTTATGTTCGTTTATTTGTTAAACAAACAATCATGAACAAGGTTTTGTGTTCATTTAATTAAATGAGCAAACACAAACAAAAGGCTCGTTCGTTCATTTATGTTCACGAGCATTCGATAATCTATTCGTTTATGTTCGTTCATTTATGTTCATTTATGTCCGTTCGTTTATGTTCTCCGAACCCGTTTGAGATATAAAGACTTAATAAATTTTAACCTTAAACTCATTAATATTTTTAAACTCAATTAATTGTAAATCCAAATAAAAATTACTTAAATTAATTAAAGAAATATAATACTAAAATTATTGAGAAGAAAAATACTCTTCTCAAATATAAACCCAATTGATTCTATATTCGTTCGTTTGTGTTTGTTTACGTTTGTTCAGTTGTGTTTGTTTATCATTTAAACGAAGGAGACGAACACAAACAAGCTAAATTTTTTAAAGAACGAATACGAATAAGAAATTTCTTTTGTTTATTTGTTCGTGTTCGTTTATTTGTTCGGTTAAAGTTAAACAAAAGAACATGAACATACTTTCGTTTGTGTTCGTTCAGTTCGTTTACAGACCTAGATGGAGGTTCACTCGCACTTCTAAAATTTTTAATCTTTTATATATTTTAATTTAATTTTATACATTAAAATTTTATAATTTCACATCTTTTTCAATTTATAATATAAGTTTTTATAATTTCACATTAAGCATCATAGGGATCTTTTATCTACTAAATTTAAATTTTCATTATTCTTATTAACCGCTTTTGATCTTTCGAATAAATCATATTAAATTTTCTTATTCCCATCCTTGTGTTAATATATATTTAAAAATTTACAATTTTTTTATTAAGACGATTACAAAATAGAATATATTCTAAAAACTTTCAACTATTCGATAATGAACACTTAATCGTCCTGCTACATCTGCTAGTACTCGAATTTATTACATCTAAAAATAATAATAATTCTTTTAATCGAGATAAATTAATTTGTGCTTAAAAAATTACAAATTAGATGTTAATGAAATGAAACAGGAGGAGAGTCGTATATTACTAAAATATTGCCTTCCATTAATGTTATGTTGGACTTGGACCCGTCCTTCTATCTAGTATGATTCGGACGAGCTGTAAATGATTTAATGTACTGTCGATTATCAAACTTTCTAGCAATGCACGGTCATCAATACTGATAGCTTCCAAATACAACTAATAAGTATAAAATAAATTATATTAGATATTACTGAACTTTACAAGATATATTATTTATATTATTAAAATTTTAATTAATAAAAACAAGGTAAACGATATTGTTTTATTGCCCAAAATATTTAAAAGGCCTAATATAAAATAAGTATTTAAAGAATATCTTAAAAAATACTTTAGTGTTAAAAAAAATTCGTTAAAAATAGATGTCTAAAGTTTTATCTGTTATATTTTTAGATGTCTACAGTTAAAAAATCGTTAAGTAACATATGTTACGTCTAGATTTTTTTTAAAATAAAATATTATTAAAAATATTCTTTTTAAAAAAATCTAAACTAACACGTGTAATTTTTTTTTTTAATTATCTATTCCAACTTTTTTATGTTCCATTTGGCTAAGTGAACTAATTTTGAGGCAAAATAAAGGGGACGCATTAAGACAGAAGTTAAAAGATAAGATTACTGTATGCTTCTTTGGCCGTCTCTCGTTTGTGTTAGTGTTAATAGTGTATTAAGATTACTCTGCTTCTCTGGCTGTGTGTCGTCTCTTGGTTTCCGAATCAATGCGATCCCATTCTTTTGCTTTCTAAACAAAGTTTTCGAATACTTAACCCCAACACAGGATGAGTGATGAGAGGAACAACCAAATACGGAGGAGACTCTGTGATTACTGTGATCAATCCACAGCTCTTTTATACTGCAGAGCTGACTCCGCCAGGCTCTGTTTCTCATGCGACAGGGAAGTTCACTCTGCTAACCAACTATTTACCAAGCACTCTCGCTCACAGCTCTGTGACGCCTGCGACCACTCACCTGCTTCCGTCTTCTGCGAAACCGAGCAGTCTGTTTTCTGCTCCAACTGTGATTGGGAAAACCACAAGTTACCCTCCTCCTCCTTGCACAATAGGAGGCCTATAGAAGTCTTCACCGGGTGCCCTTCCGTGAGTGAGCTGCTGAGCTTTATTGGGATCGAGGGTTTGGGTGATAAACCTCCCTTTTCGAGTGAAGTCAAACTTGGCTGTGGAGATGGTGCTGAAGATTGTGATGGGTTGTTGGAATTGTCTAATTGGGGATCTCCTGTGATTTCTGGCTTTGATGGGTTGATTCTTTCCAGTGATTTTGATCATGGGTTTAAGCCTACGGATGTCCCTCCTCTACCAAAGGTTTAGTATCTAGTTAACCCTTTCAGTCTTTTGCATTTCTTATGCGTCTATGTTGGCTGGCTCCTTGGAAAATATGAGAAAGAAGTTAAAAGATTGCTCTTTTTATGAGTTCTATGCTGGTGAAGAGTTAACAGTTTGTTTATGTATTCACTGAAATTTGGAATTTTGGGGTTCTTATCAAATTTTAGTTTGTTCTTTTGTTTTAGAAAATCATGTCACTGAGGTTTGCGGTGTTTTCTGTGACTTGAACAGAACAAGTGTTTGAGTTAGTACGGTAATTAAAATTTTAATGCTCAAGTTCAATAAGCCAACTGGATTTTATTGAGGCTTTGCTGCCTTTATTTTGGTTGTGGTTGTTTAAGAATTACTTGAAAGAAGGATGAATTGTGTACCATTAACTGCAAATCTCTTGGATTTTTGTGCATTGTGTTATGAATATATAACTGTTGTGAATGAACTGTCTTTGAATCAGAATCGTAATTCATCTTGTGGAAAACATAAGGAAGAGATATTTCATCAGCTACATGAACTGGCAAAGTCAGAACCCAATCCAAGCTTTGAAAAGGCTAACGTTGAAGCCACTATTGGATTCCAGTCACTGATACCAGATGCTGATAATTTTCAGCTGGGAAGTGTGCAAATGAGTTGCAGAAATGATGATCCTATTTCATTTCCTGCCGATAAGGTCTGCATTTTCTTTTCCTCTAGTGTTCACCTAGATATAGAACATTCTGAATATAGAGCCGAGGGTTATTATTGTTTTAATTCGAGATCAACAAATGGTTGTTCGGCTTTGAGATACGAATACAATAGCTCTGGAAATCGAAAGTGCATGCTAGCCATGGAAAAAGTTTCGTTTTTCGTTGTGGGGACGATACTGTGAACAATTAGCACTTTGAACTTGTTGTCATTCTTAAAGATGCAAAGCCGATGATTTATCAAGACAATATATTCTAGCTTCTGCAGCACGTTTAAGTCTTGTTTATTGGCCTTCGTTTCCATTTAGAAGGAGTTTAGGTTGACAATTAAATCAGCAAAGAAGCAGATTTATTGTTCCTTGTTTCTTTTTATGCCTGGAGAAACAAAATTATTGTTGATTAAGTTAATGCATTTAATCTTCAATGTCTCTCAACCAAACCACTGGTGTAGTAATAAAAACACTTGCGTTGTATTCAAGTCTAGATTGACATAATGTCTGATAAAAAAGATCTTCATTGGCATGTTCAAAATATAAGCGCCTTCTTGATTAACTCTGTTCTCTTCATGCAGTCAAGTCCACTACAGTGCTTCAAAGATAACAATGTAGAGCTGGCCAACCAAGCATTTCTACCTCTTTCACAGTTAAGAAGCCATACAGAGGAAAATGCTGTGGTTCCAAATAAACACGTCGATTCTAGCAGGAACGTCAATGTGAATATCGACCAACGGCAACATCAAATTGCTGCAGGAACCACATTAGCACCTCCAGTGGTTGCTGTCCACGAGTTAAATAGCCAGGAGAGAGAGACTGCAATCTCACGCTACAAGGAGAAAAAGAAAACAAGGAGGTATTTGCTTTCACTTTGTTCCTTACCATCACATCTTTAATCCGTATTCACTTTAAACCTTAGTAATTGGGTCTCGAGTTTTTTCATATATTTGGAAAATCTTTGAAGAATTGTTGTGTGACACATGACAGATATGACAAGCAAATAAGGTATGAATCAAGAAAGGCTCGAGCCGAAAGCAGGACAAGAATCAGAGGGCGTTTTGCAAAGGTGCAGCGTTGAAAACCATACTGTTAAACTTGGGTCATTTCTTGTTACTAGAGAATGTTTTCCCCTTTGTATTCCTTCTTCCTTAGAAGCTGAAGCTTTAGGGTACATCAGGTTCCTCACTTGTAAAATATGAATTTTGCAAATAGTGCCAGTGTTAAGCTTTTATAACCTGTTATATTGAATTGTAAAACCTATATATAGTACTTAGAAGTTAATATATTGTTTATTTCTTTGTATTATTTTTTCTTATATATATATATATATAAATTGATCACGACTTATATATTGATTTTTAGTGATTGTTCGTTATGATGTTTATTTTTGAACAAGAGAGTCTGACTGAAACAAACTGAGCCAACTAATCTAAACTGATTGCTAAAAGTACATAGGCCACACAAATGGACTTCAAAATAGTAAAATTACATTACTAGTCCTTGAATTTCTTAAACTTCATAATTTGAACTCTAAAGTTCATAAGATGTTCTATTTAATCCATATCTTCACTAATATTTACTCAGCTTTTTCAAGTGTCTCTATATGTTTGAGCACTGCAATAGAGATAATATGACGTGAAAAAAAAATCAACATCGCTCTTAATTTTTAAATCACGAAAAGAAATCATGATTCTCTAATTACTCAACTTTCATATAATTTATCCCTTAATAAAAACAGCTTTTAACAGAACTGAACCCATCATCATAAGTATTGATGTCCTGTCCTGGAGACACTGTAACATCAGAGAATTTGACCCTACAATTATGAAGATGATGATATTGATAATGACCACAGTTGAAAGTTTATACGAAAAAGGAACATCAACAATCATTAACTAACAGAGAATATTAATGGTGGGTTTTGATCCATCATAAATACAACGAACGTGTTCACATCATCATCTATCCCTCTCAGTAATCTGCATTGTTCCCCTATTTTTTCAGTTTCAGTTTCTTTTCTCCTCTTTTTGTGTGATTTTCTATCTCAGTTTCTGAGATAATATCTGCGTTTTCAATGATGATATTTTATTATTATGTGATGTTCCAATCCAAAAAGATTATACAAATGGCATAAACATACAACAATCTTCATGGTAACTATGAGGATTGCAAATAAAAACCCAGGCTAATAATACACAACTGGAGTTCCATTTCTTTATTGATCAACGCTCTGTATTCCAGATGGCCCGGCCACGACTAAAACAATTTCAACCAGGTCTGCAATTAGATTGAGCAAGGGGCATGTACCTCATCAAGTGAGCTTTAACATGTCCGGTCTCTCTCAAGAAAGCTCCAATGCAGAATCTTCATCCATGGTCCAAACAAACGGAGGCATGTCGGGTCTTGGCCCGGCAACTGATCTATATGTAGAGCTTAGCGACTGGTTGGCTTTCTGGTCTCGAATCTGGAGGTCCCTTCTCATCCATAACTTCGACATTCAACCTGCGCATCTTCTGGCCTAGCATCTTACACGCTCCGAGACTCACCAAGCAAGAAGACATCCAAAGGGATCGCATTGTCTCCAGCTTCGCAGCGTTCTCCAATAGAGCCTTGTCTCCAAAGGGACAATCCATGATCTCTAGTTTCTGGAGCCTATCACACCCAGAAAGCACATGATGGAGTCCCATATCAGTTTCTCCTGCAAATGCCAGAGACAGCATCTCTAGCTTTTTTGCGTATCTCCCAATATATTCAAACACGCGATCCGTGAGGAGACCGGAGAGGGAAAGGCGCGTCAGATCCTTGCAGTGCTCAACAATGGCTCCAAAACCAACATCCAGTGGCTTGAGGGTCTGGTAATCAGCCATTGTTGGATCAAGAATACAAAGACGAAAACATATAAAGTTCGGATGGTTCTGGGCAATGGTGACTAAAGCTGCATTAGACATTTGGCGGCAGAAGTATAAAACCGACCGTAGCTTAGGACAACCCAAAGAAACAGCGACAAGGCCTCGTTCCGTCAAGGATACATTTGGCTCTGCACCAAACGGGTCAGATGGAAACACCCTTAACTCCTGTAGGTCCTTGCAACTAGATGCGAGTGTTTCAAGGCCATTATCTTCGATGTAATCAAGTACCTGTGAGCATAACCGAGGGTTATCTAATGTAGCATACACAATCGAAGAACCAATTGAATGACGGAACATGTTCCTAACACAGTTCAAATGGAATCCTTAGATCCCATAATGTCCACAATGCTACCGTAATGAACTTACCAGCAAGCGTAGCAAACTAGGACAGTGGCTTACAAGCTTGGTAAGATCGGGATTCTGTATGGTAGCATAGCTTAAGTTCAATGATGTTAATCCAGAGCAAACAGAGTAAATAGCTGGAATATAAGCTGGGGCCGCATCCCAAAACCCGGACAAGCTCCTTAGTTCCTTGCAACTTGAAAAAGCTTCGGCCAGGTTCGAGAACACATCAGGGCGTAGCTCAGCCGCATAGACGCCAGTGCCGAATTCAACCAGCTGTGGTGCACAGCGTAAAATGTTGGCGATCTTATCAAGGGGCACTTCACGGTTGAGCAAAAGACTCCTCAAGTTGGGACATCTACCCACTAGGCGCTCCAAGGCCAAGAAACTAACTTCATCCGATCCTAAGCAAGAAATGTTAAGGGACACAAGGGATGTGTATGTCTCGGGAAAATGATTGAGCCAATGTCCAGCCAAATCATCCACTTCACTGTCTCTCAAGTCCAGCTCTCTCAGATACCTGCATCCAGAAACCATACTGATTCATATAAACGTGCCGAACGTCGAAAACAGAATCTTCAGTACCGACAAGGAAAATTATTGCTGCCATCACTAATTTACAAAAAAGATATTCATCATTTCTAAACGCAAAAACAAGCCCACGTTTCCCAGGAAGTACCCATCCAAATATCTGAAAACAACTCCCAAAAGGAAAAGAATCTGCAGATAAAGAACAAAACAAGGGAATCCTAGGGGGAAAAGAAGAACAAATTCCCATAGAGACCCAAAATTTAATTTTTTTTTATCTCAGTACAAAAACAAAGAAAAAATCCAAACAGCAAACGTGAACAGAGTTCAATCAAACTCACTTGCAGCTACCAGCAATGGCGGCGAGTCCATCGGTTGAGAACCCTTCACAAGAAAAAAGCACCAACACTTGCAAATTCTTAAACGACTTAGCAACAAGCTCCAAGCTTTCGTCTGTGACGACCATTCGTTTAAGCCGAATCTCTTCGAGCCAAGGATAGGCTTCGGCCATTTCAACGATCCATGGAAGCACGTAGCCGCCCAGCCGTCGGGTACGAGATTGAAGTCTGCAAAGTGCGGTTTCCCTTTCAGCTCAATGGATATGATTTCCGGGAACCGTCTGATCACCATCCGAGGACTAATGGCGTAGCAGTTCCCGACAAATACCTTCCTCCGACACCACCGTTCGATCTCGTACCACGATTTACACCACCGATACCGAGTTCCGGTCTTTGTTTGATTGTATGAACGAGCAGACGTGCTCCAGCACCTCGTCTGGGAATGAATACGCCGTTTTCTTCTGCATTATTAGCAATCGAATAGAAAAAAGAAAAAGGAAGGCACAAGCACGCAAAGAGAACTGAAACTTTTTTATTAAAAGAAAGAAAATTCTCTTTTTCTGCCTTTGGGTTTGGCCGGTACTTTGGGTGCTTTAGGGTTCATTTTCAGATCTGAAGCGCCATTAATGAAGCTTATACAGGTAGCAAAGATTAAGGAGCTATAAAGAGAGACAGCGAAGTGAATTGACAGGTACAAGAGAGGATAAGGATTTTTATTTGCGTGCTGAGACGAGGGGTTAGATTTTAACCATGGTTAGATATGGGTCAACTTCTTCCAGCACTCTGTGGTCTGTGCTTTTTTCTCTTGAACATTCAATGTCAATCAACAATTAATATACGTAACTATATATAGATACATAGGTCCGAATTTTCAATGATTTTCTCTGAAAATCCTACCGAACCCCAATCCCAAAAAACACTGTCGCCTCGATGAGACCCCCGACATTGCCGACATTAGCCATCCCTGATCCCAAAATTGGCTTCTCCCACATTTTAGATACCCCATGAAAACGGATCAGCAAGCTTCCCTTCCTCTCCCTGCAATCTCTTATAGAGATAAACTAATGAGTGACTTAACCAACGTCCGACCTACTAAAGAGGAGATTATCGATGGGGATGACAACGATATATTGAACGGAGACGTAAACCCGTTCCGTCATCGATGGACTTATTTCAATTGAATTCTCCAAACGTGTCCAATCTCTTACTAAAAAAAAGTCTCGCTCAAACTGTCATCGTCAAACTCCTTGGACAAGGCATCGGTAACACAACCCTTTGGAACAAGATGTATGATCTCTGAAAGCCCTCAAAACCTTTTAAACTGATGAATATCGAAAACAATTATTATCTTGTCACCTTCAGCACTTATTCAGATTACTTGAAGGTTTTATCTGATGGCTCCTGGATGATTTTCGGTCATTATCTCACTATTGAACCTTGGTTGTCGGATTTCTCTACGTCACAGCCATATCCTAGCAAAGTCATCGCTTGGATCTGACTCCCTGGCCTACCAGTCACGCTCTATAAACGTAGCATCGTCACAAAAATCGGTGAGTGCATTGGTCCGATCATTAAGATCGACTATCAAACCAAGTGTGGCCGAAGAGTGCGATTCGCGAGAATGGCCATAAGAGTCGATCTTAACAAGCCCTTAGTGTCCAAGATCTCCATCAATGGCCGGATTCAGATTATTGAATATGAATCCTTACATACGGTGTACTTCAGTCGCGGTACCTATGGCCACGTTAAGGACACCTGCTCGAAGTCACAAACTACCAACGATCCCCCCACCGCTTCCGATCCTATCAATGTCCCGCCCAAGCCCGATAATATACCTTATAATAATTCACGAAAATATTAAAAAAAGTTTTCCTACGTAAACTAAAATTTAATACAATTGGATCTTAAATATGTCACGTGAAAGAAGTATGAGGGATTTCATTTTTTTGGTAAATTACATAATTTCTTACTAAATTTTATTTTATTTTCTATTTTATTTACTTTTAATTTTGCTCAATTTACTTACAGAATGAAAGTTAAATTTGGACTCAGTGGGTCGAGATAAAGTGAATTATGAAATCTTGGACCAAACAACCATCATCTACGGCCATTCCAACACTGGCAAATAATGGACAAACATTTTTTGTTTTTTGTTTTATATTTTAAATTATTTTTAAAAAGATAA